TATAAGTCCCATAGAGTGAGTAACCAGACTTTCTCAAACTTGAGTTCTTAATATTTTTTTTAATTTTCAAGAGACACAAGGCTTGCTGAGTGTCTCTTGAAAAAATAAAAATATCAAAGAAAGAGAGTTTGAGAAAACGGTTACTTACAAGCAATGGTTATGAGAACTGTTTGTCCCATTATACAAACATGGACTTGTGTGTTTTTGAGACATAAACATAGCGCTGAAGAAGATATCTATCCCATTAGTATTCGTATATGTACGTCCTTGGTAATATACCTCAATGATCTGTCGAGATGAAAAATACAAGGGGAAAGTTCAAAGAATATTTTTTTAAATCGTATATGATTACAAACGTAAAATGTACCTGTATTTTATGCCATCATAGGCATGAAATTGGAGAATAGACCCTGGAAAAGCAGCCAACCAGAATAGTTGTACAAGCGGCCAATCAAATTCGTCTTAGGTGTTTCAAAAAATGTTATGAACACGAAAAAAGAACTGCTTGGGGATGATTAAACAATATTGATAATTGAAGAAATGCATCATTAAGAATGAGATAATTATCTTTGCTTAAGAAAAAAAAATACGTTCTTATAAAATTTAATCTTTCCTGATATGCATTTTATAAAATATTTAACTTAATGATTAACATAGCAAAAAATATATCCTGCTTAAGATAGAAGTTATTTGCATTTAGCTGTAGAATATATTCCGAACCATAAGGTATAAACAATGCGTAATTATAATTAACTTCTCGTTCATAGGAAAGGAAATTATCTTTAGTATTATTTGTACAACATTTTTTTTATGGCTGCAAAAGCAATTTTTCTAATAGGTGTTATATAAAGCAATTTACATGCTTAAGTTGAGTCAACATCAGACGACTGAGATTTTATACGTTGGTTTAATTACCTTAAAAGCAAGGGAAATGAGACGATTCTTCGGGAAAAAAGTATATTTAGACGTGCTGCTGGTGCTTGCAGTGATAGGCAATTAATTAGATTTATGAACAGAGAAGAGAGAAAATCTTAGAGAAAATTAAGTATTGATCTGTTTTGGGTATAATAAGCTAAAAAGAAAGTCTTTCCATATTCACGATAGTAAGTCTGATTTTCCTGAAGTATTCTGTGATTACTCCGCTTGTGGTTAATGATTTTTAATTGAGTTTTAATCATTTATCAAATAGAATAAAATTCATATGTCTTTTCCCTGTTGTCATACAATCAGTAAATTGATAATTTTATTATAAAGATATTATACTCGGAGATCCTAAACTTCAAATTATACCAGTAAACCTGGCTATTTTCTTAAATATTTATAATCTTATATAATACGTGTTAAAGTCGATTTCTTCAGGAAGTGACATGTATTTCTATGTCTGGAACGACTTTACCGATCCTAAGAAAAACGCGCTAAAATATAATCTTGCCGTAGGCGACTTCAATATATATGAGATCGCATGAGCGATCGAAAAAATAGAAAGTACGGGGTTTTTGGCCTTTTTGACCCAAAAATCGAATTTTCCTGTTTAAAGTTTAGTTCAAAAATTCATTTTTAAACGGAGTTTTTACCTTCGTTCTCTGAAACGTTCTCTGAAAAAAAATTAATATTGTTTATTCATTGAAAAAAATCATAGTCAAGGTAGCGCGTGCGGTGCATGCTTAGTGCCATTTCTTTCGTACTTAGCCATTTTTCATGTAAAACAACCCAATGAGATGTCGTTAAAGCTGAATTAATTAAGATCTTGCAAAAATACAAATGCAATTGAATTTCATAATTAATCTAAAAAAACAAACTAGGATGATATTTAAGTACTAACCAAAATCGTTCTGACGGATGCTAGACTAACCCTAATCAGTCGAATACTTTTGCAAAAACTAACCCTTATCTCTCATGTGAGTGCAAGATTAACCCTAACCAGTCGTGTAGTGTGCATGACTAACCCTTATCAGTTGAATGACGTTAATCGTACGTCATACTGCAAAGGGCGCGCGGATCTTGCGGATCTGGAGACCGGTAAAGTAAAGTCTATCCCTATGTTTCTCGTGAAGCCCCCGTAGTCTCAGAATATCATAATATCAAAAGCCTGCTATTCATCATGAAATAAAATCATCTTCGATTATAAACAGTAAAACATGATTCTTTATGTACACCATTTCAAAGACATGTGTACAGTATACTGAATATTATTAATTAAGGGTTGTTATGATCTTAATCCTTTTTTCCGGCGCATTTTAAGGGACTTTTGAGACATTTTGACATATCATTATGAAATAATTTCTAAAAGTTTCAACCAGAGAGAAAGCATTTTGTAGGGAATTTCGAAGAGATGATATTACATGACAATTCTGATAAATAACGACTGACCCTTCACTTCCGTACCGGTAAATTTGACCGGTAGCGCAAAAATGGGGTATGCGTGTTTTTCACACATCGCTGTGGAGATGAATTTAATAATAATATTACAATATTTAAATTCATTGTTTAGGGAAATCTATATACTTTCTCTCTATAGAAAATTCACAATTGAAAATTTTACGTGCAAGGAGTATATAACATTTTTACATTCAGGTGAGTTTTGCAAAATGAGGTATTTTGATTTGCAATATGGATTTTTTTTCTACGATGAATGAAATTTTAAATTTAACGAGAAATACATTTTGTCAGATATTGACAGAAAGACAGTGTCCTAAGCTTCTAGAGTATATAATTTTTTTTAAATTCTGTCCGTATTGTGGTGAAAATTTTAAAATTTTTATCACTTTTCGGGTTTTTTTAAGGAAAATTTGGCCAAATTTAAATAAATTGAATTTTTACTCATGTTTACGTATGAAAATAGGCAAAACTAAATGTAGACGGTAAGTAGTTTGGAAAATTTCCTATTCATTAGTTTTTATTTCATCGAACTATATTTTAAACAACGTAAGATTTAGTTATGTAGTCGAGCTTTCTCTGAAACTACGTAATCTATGTAGATTTGATGGTAAACATTCTGGTATCTTATAATAAGTGTGCATAAGATAAACTGTAAATTTAAAAAAATATCTTCTTGCAACAGGTTTAGAAAAAAGCTTACAAATATATTTCAAACATGTTTTGTTTTCAAGCCACATCTGTTGCTGAGCTTGATGTTTTACTTACTTGCCAGCTAAAACGTAAACGATACGACAAATTGCTTCAAGATTTTTTTCCGTCCCTTTTAATATATTAATATTCTACTATTACCTGTGGCGTTTTTGTCTCCAAACTTTATTTGGTATACAAAAAAGCATGTTTTGAGTGCGATTAATTTTTAAATCAAAGAAGTTACTGACAATTAAGATAAGTTTACAGGATATTCAATTATATTTTTTAAAGTCAGCCTTTAGGAAGCAATTAAGTCATTATAATGACCCTTTTGCAAGTACGTGTACAGCTTATTAAATGGTCGTATTATGATGGACATATTTCCCATTAATTGTTAGGCCATAGACTTTCTTCAATTTGACTACAAATACTCCATTTACCTGATCAATGCAGAGGGCTTAAGGTTATAGTTACTGGCTGACAGAGGATGCTTACTCCTCCTAGGCACCTAGGAACCTCTGGTGTTTCTAGGATCCTGTGATTTTGTACCTCTCAGAAGTTCTCTGAAATAATACAAAGCGGATGCAGAGCAAACACGGAACTCTATAGACATCAGAGGTGAGATAAGGTGCCATGGAGGAGTGAGCATTCCCTGTCGACCGGTCACACCCGCGTAATGCTCCTTGTCATGAACGAGCAAACAGAAAATCTGTAAACAATTCATTTTATAAATACTCGATTAACAATCAGTAAGAAGAATTTCAGTCAGCATTTGACCTGATATATTGTATTTTCACTAGATAAAATAAAACAATATTTAAGTTGGAATTATTTTATATCGTGAATGACCGAGAATAGTATTGCAAAATCCATGTGATTATCTATTAGTCAGATAAAATTATTTTTATTTAATTCTTATAAAATGATTTCCTCTTTTGTCAAGATATTTTTCATTATATTCCATTTGCAGGGAAATATTTTATAAATACGGATCTATATAAATAAGATCAGCAAATTACGAAAAAAATATATACCGTAATACAAAGAAAGAACGGCATACATATGAGCTACATTAAACATTTATCAGAAATCTATACTTAAGTCCAAAAAGTATATCTATGACGTTTGCTCTGATATCAGTCAGAAGTAATTTGTCACTACGTTTCTCCTGTTAACGAGCGGCTGATTGTGGGCTCTCTGGTAAGGCTTCCTGTCTTTATACCCTAAGGAACCGAGCTTTACGTTGTAATTATATTATCACTTTTCTATATATATCGTAATCTCTGGAATATAAATTGCATTGATATCACAGATCATAGAAAAAATGAAGGAGTTTTTGCGTCAAGTTTGGATTGTTAAGTACAATTTGAACATCTGATCTTAAAACGGTTGTATTCCTTGAATGTAAAGGTAAAGTTTGGCTTGAAGATTTCGAAAAAAATAGTTTTGAACTGGCCTAGCGTTTTTTTATAAATGTAGTTTTGACTGAAGAATAGCTTTCATCGATTTCGTAAGTTTAATTCTTTTGTGTGAACAATTATGAACGATGAAAGCTGTATAAGATTTTTTTTTAATTTCATCAAAATTGTAAAAAAAAAAAAAAAAATAAACTCATTTAAACCTATGAAAAGTTAAATAATTATGTGATTCTAATAATTAACGTGAGATATTTTCTTCTTAAAATTTCAATTACAATTTTTTGATGATTTAACGATTTTCGATGATGCATTATTTGAAAAAAAAAGCATCATTACCAGAGGTACTGTATGATTTTATGAGGAATTCTCCAATTGTATAACCATCCAATCACTAAACTGGACTGTGAATTTCCATCTCATCTATATACAATATTGACCTACTCTGACGAATTGTTAATGTCATCACTGATTGCTGATAATTGTCAATATGAAACGCTTTTCTAACCATTTCAGCTCGAACATCGCCTAAGTTCTTCCAGTCTGACCTCCGCCTCCTCAGAGAGTGACTCAGAGTCCCCGTCCCCCACGCAGCTTCGGAGGGAAAGAAGACCAGCCATATTTGATACAAAGGTAAGAGTTATCAGTTACTAGTCAAAAGAAGACGAGTCATCTCTGATGCAAATGTGAGGTTTATCAGTTACTTATTAGAAGATGCAAAGGTACAGTTAAACTCGGTTAAAAATAACTCTCTTTTAAGGAAATATCTCTGTAATAAGGAATTCCTCAAGAAACTTTTCACTATCTTCTTTATACGGATATAATGAATCTCGAATATAAGGAATCATAATTTGAAGTCCCAAAAGTGACTTCCTCATAAACGAGTTCTACTGTAATAGTTACCAGTTATAACAGGGAGTAGAAGACACACTATCTTTGATACAAAGTAAAATTTAAATTGCTAGTGAGTAGGAGACCCGCCATCTTTAATTCAAAGGTGAAACTTATATTTACTAGTGAGTGAGAGACCTGCCGTCTTTGATACAAAGGTAAGAATCAGTTGTTAGTGAATAGAAGACTAGCCATCTTTGATGCAATGTTATCAGTGAATAGTGCGTAGAATATCAGTCATATTTGATACAAAGCTGAGATTTATCTAGGGATCAGATGACCAGCCATCTTTGATACAAAGGTAAGAGTTATCAGTTGCTAGTGAGTAAATTGACCAGCCATCTTTGATACAAATGTGAGAGTGATCAATTGCTAGTAAATAGAAGATCAACCATATTTTGATACAGATGCCCGAGTTATAAATTGCTATTAAATGTCATTAATTCAAACATCGTATTTAATACTTATTTTCCTGCACAAGATTTCCAAGCATTTTTGCATAGAATTTTTTTTTTAATCGATCTAATTCAGGGATTCAATCCCTTTGTCATTTGCCTTTTTTTTCTTGGCGTAGACCGACATAAAGCTTAGACAGATGTTAGGACTAGACATTTTGCCATCTATATGGTAAATAGCTTGGTATTGTAGAAAAGAAAAGCACATACTCATATTTTGTTATTATGATTTTTCTTACTATAATTGGATATTCTGTTCATCTGCTGTGTAAAGCAATTTGTATTAGAATCATAGTTTAGACAGAGACAAAAAGATATAACATCAGTAATGAGAAATTTATTTAGAAAATTCTGATGGTAACAGAACCAGTGGAAATGGAGGGGTGATGTGTAATATAACTAGCCTTATTATGTTAAAATAAGCATGTCTACTGTTTGGTCTCCAACCAAAAAAATCAATGAAAGAAAATAAATTTTATTTTAATGAAATAATAAAAAAAAAATGTTTGATCGGATTGCAGCCACATAATTAAGTTTCCTCAGATTCCGAAATGTCACAAAAATATCAGACGCAATTAGAAATATTGATTTTCCTTTGCCATTTCTCTTTGGTAGACTACATATGTTTACTTCATGAAATATGGTCTATAGCATTCTATATGGATGCCCTTTTGTCTTAGAATATCTAATTGTGTCTGTGTGGTATTTACCATTAATGTAAATTTTTTTTATATCCTTTTAAATATTTTGTTCAGGATTGTTGTGGCAATATATCCTTTAAAGCATAATAAATATTTTTAAACAGCATGTTTGTAAATTTTAAAATATATGGTAATTATATATTTTACACGTATTTTGAATGTAAGCAATACAAAAACTACAACTGTTCAATAGATGTACTTCTACAATAAACAGGCTCCCATACAAAAGGTATATTTTTAGGATAAATTGGCTTCCATACAGCAGGTGTAAGTTCTAGGACAAATAGGCTTCCATATGATGTAGTTCGAGGCCATGAAGGAGTAGGCATCCCCCGTCGACCTACCACACCCGCCGTGTGGTCATTGACATGAACGGGTAAACGGAAAAATCTGTTGACAGTTCAGAGTGAAAATAATGGCTTAACAATTCATATGAAAAAACGTCAGTCAACATTCGACTTAATGATAAATTTAAAGTAAATAAATTCTTCAAGTATGGCACGCATATTTAACTTTGAATGTTCTTTTAATTGCACTCAGATCATAGATCCTCTGTTCCGTTTGTTCTTGGTAAAAACTAATTGTGATTGATGATTAATTTATATAAATGATTTAATTTTATGAAAATAGTGAAGATAACGAACAGTGAGCAATCTCATAAATTCTTTATAAAGTACAAATTGTGAACATGACAGAAAACATGGACCCAAGGAAACACCCAGAGGTGTGATCAGGTGCCTTATGAAGTATCCCCTTTCAACAGGTCACACTCCTTGAGCACTCTTTGATCATCTAAATGGAGTAATCCATAGCCAAAATTAGTACAGAAAACGATTGCTAACAAAAGGTTTGAAAAATGACATTCAAAATACAAAACCAATATAGGCTGTATCTACAAATGAGGTATGCACAGAATTTGCTGAATAATTTTCAATTGTAAATAAACCCAAATAAATCCAAACTCACTGATAGATACATTTTACATGCTGGTACCTCAGTAAAGGGGTTTTGGCCATTCATTTTTTCTTAGGTAGAAGATCTGTTTTGCAAAACACACTTTATTCCTTCTTACGTTTGAAAGTGCCCTTGTAGCCTTTGTAACAACAATTTTACTTGGGGCCCAGGTCTCTATCATATCATTTGTTTATGGTCTTTGAGCAGTAAGGGTTCTTTTTACAGTCACACGCGTGGCGCCGTAGTTAGATCGTTTGATGTAGAGTCGCGGAGAATTGATCCTTACTCCGAGGGTTCAGATCTCACTGCGGGACGTGCATACCGGTCCTTGAGTGAAAAATTTTCTCAAGGCTACAATCAGCTACAATGACACCTGCTGTGACTCTTGAAGTAAATTTTCAGAGTTTAAGCATAGTAATGAAATATATATAAAGAAGATTGTCCAACTAAACTTTTATTTACTAAGGCTGTACTAGAAAATACAATGTAGTACAAAGGATGTGTAAAGGAACTATTGTTCTAAACAAAACTTGACTCAAAAATTACATCGGCTCAGCGCGTATTCATCCAATGCTATATATATATATATATATATATATATATATATATATATATATATATATATATATATATATATATATATATATATATATATATATATATATATATATAGTACATTAAAGAATGTGTATGCGTACATGTTTAAGACATTTTCGTACGACCATTGCGGTTTTTTGTATGATAAATTCCGTCACAAATTAAATATTATTACTGTGCCAAAGGCAGACAGCCACATCTTAATGTGATAATATATATATGTATTATAATTATTTTCATATTTCATACCCAGTAACAATCCAATATTACTATAAATCATACGTGAACATATGTACATAACAATAAAAGGACGATTCAGTTTTTTGACGTCAATCCAAAAAAAAAAAAAAAAAAAGGCAAATTAAGTCAAAATTGACATTGCATTATATAGTGAGTACTAAGTTTATTTTTCTCTGCACATGGAACAAGTTCTATCGATAAGTAACACAGATATGTCCAGAAGTAATATATATGGAGATCCGTAATCGATTATGAATGAATTAGTAAGAAAGTCCTATATTCTGAGGGATTTTTGTGCAGTATATGGCTTACATAAATTACAAGTCATTCGTATGTACATTTGGAATCTTAAGATTTGTTCGGTTCGAATTATTTTTTTTTATTATGTGTTGAAGTATGAGAAATACAACATGTCAGAAAAAAATCTGATTTAATCTAATAATTTTGTAAAAAAAAAAATTATACTTATCCTGCTATAGACTCTCGATGTGATATTTTAAGGCTATTTTTCAACGATTCACGATTTAAATTCATTACTGACCTTAATTTATGAGTTTTTACCTTTTATACAGTACCCGCATCGTTATTCTTTACAATTCTATCGTGTCCTATCGTGCGTGTATCCTATCGTATCGTGCGTGTATCCTATCGTATCGTGCGTGTATCCTATCGTATCCTATCGTATCGTGTTTTCCGTTTATCAGGTTTTGCGTTTTCTATCGTGTTTTCCGTTTATCAGGTTTTGCGTTTATGGTGAAGATCGTTTATCAGGTTCTATCGTGTATCGTGTTTTGCGTTTATCGTGTGCATTCGGAAACCCTCGTTTTTTATCTTTACCTTGAGAAGAAAAACCCGAGATGTCTCGAGTTCATTTTTCGTTTTGTTAATTTTTTTAGGATTAATTTAACTGTTTAACAGAAAGAGAAATTAATACTCTAACTCTGGTATATTTGTTAAATAAAAACAAATAAATAAATAAATAAATAAATAAGTAAATAAATAAATAAATAAATAAATAAATAAATAAATAAATAAATAAATAAATAAATAAATAAATTTAAAAAAAAAAATAAAGGTCAAGTACCGTGACCAAGCAGAGAGGGTAAATCGAAAGTCATATTCTATTTTGGGACATGAAATAATCGATCTACTAGTCATTCGTTATTATTTTTTCAATTTTTCGATTTGTAAGAAATATTTTTGTCAAAGAAATATTTTAATTCCTTTACATAGATATAGTCACAAAACAAGACCTTTATTAACTTTGTTTTGATAATTATAGAAGCATAAAACAGTAGGTACATGATGTATGTGTGCAAAAATAAATTTTAAATAAAAAAAAAATATCAGCAGCTTTATTAGGTCTATTACGGAAACATAAATTTTGTCAATGCGCCCAAGTTTTGTTATTCCTTTTTATTTATTTCTTTCTGTGATATGTCTACAAGTTAAATTACAATTTATTTTACATGAACATGCTCCATTCGATTCATCATTTGATAATTATATATTATAATATAGATGTTTGCAATTCATATTTAACTACTGCAGTTAGAAGATGTTAAAAAAATAAACAAAACCATACTAATTTTTATTACTATTTCGGCATGGAAATGAAATGAGTACATACCGTAACTAAATGACAAGTGGAAGCACTCCCGTGACAAGAGAACTGCCACATATATGTACCAGTCATGCCTAATCAGTAAACTGTCTTCTTGTCAGGTCAAGAATCCCCCTCCTTTCCCCCCTATATGACCGGCCCGTGTGTATTCACCGTCGATATACCTGAACTACTCTCTCACCTGTTGTCAAGTATTCACCTTGAATCCTATCCTAGGTTTCAACGAAATGCATCTACTTATTTTCCCGATATTGTTTATTATTTGTATGAACAACAATTAACATTTAAAGATTTAATACTAGGAAAATTGGTAAATGTACAAAATTCCGTTACGATTAATAATTGAATAAATGAATCAAATAAAATAGAGACCAGGTTTGTACCCCAAACTCCGTTGATTTAGTTCATTTGTATACTATTATATAATTTTTATTGGTTTACGGTCTTGAACATGATTGGTGTGATCAAATAAAAAAAAAACTGCGCTTGCGGTACTTCCGGATCTTCGGGTTTTCTGTGTAATACAAAAAGAAACTGTTACAATTGTTCGAAAATTCTATTCATCGAAGAATATGGTAAATAATTCTTGCCAGAAAAATACGATCTTTGCCTCGCACGATTTTTTTTTAATTAAAGGCGCCTCAAAGATACATGTAAAAAAAAAAAAATTAAAGAAATAGCCCGGATCTGCCGTGATGCACAAGACGAGTAAATACCTTGAATTTAATTTTATTAGTTTATCGATTGCATTAAATACTTGACTATATTCAAGAAGTCAGTATATATTTTTATTTATTTATTCATTTATTTATTGCTGTTTGAATTGGATCTTTTTTGAGTGGTTATGGACCCCCTCCCCCTTTCCCTGCTGCCTGTGCCTCAAGTGGGATTAATATTTTCATAATTTACAAAGTTTTGTCTAATTTTGCCGAAGTTGTCCTATATAAGTTTTGTAACAATTAATACAAAGTCTAATAGCTATAATTTACAATTATTCCGAAAATCCAATTGTCGTATTGTGAAAATTAATTTATAATTTATTTGTGTGTGCGTTCTAATATGCTGTAAACAAGAGTATGTAATCATTCAATGTTATTTATTTGATACAAAGTTTAAGTACCCAATCAATTTATTCACACACATTGTAAGCTTACAATGTAGCATACATGTGTCTATAGTAGATACAAATTCTTGGTTGATATTACACTCTGTTATCCTTTCTTCATGCATGTAATATTTTCTGTTTAATACAGTGTATATTGTACATATCTTCTCTTCACTGTTTTGTCAGTTATGATAATAAAGGTCATATCACGTTATTGTAAATGTTTATAACACAGGCAGACTTAGAAAATAATTTCATTTCTTTGGGGGGGGGGGTATAAAAAGAAATGTGTTGAAAAGCAAACAAAAGATGTTAAAGACATTATTGTTGTTGATGGGCATAATTATATAAGCATTATATTTCTATTGTATACTGCACATGTTGGTACACTGTAACATGTTTAGGTATACGTCTGCATGCTCCCTTCTTAATCTTACAGGTCTATAGCATTAGAAATACCAGAGAATAAATACAAAAGAATGGAAATGCGATATTTTTTTTCGGATACTACATGTACATGTAGATGATGACAGATCTAGTGACGTTTATTAATTTTATTGAATTCAATTTCTTTCGGTCGGCCTCCTTCCTCATATGTACATATACAATGTATGTACTTGGAATATGTAAATAATTTCTATGTACACGGGATATGTGTAGCAGATATATTTATATATAGGAGAGATAATTTAATCACAGTCCAATGCACAGTCTGTGTCAATGCAACTAGCAATTTCAGCAAGTCATTTGTTTAAAACGTAATAAATATAAAATTAATTTATATAAAATATAAATTAAAGCAAATTCGTAAAAAATTGAGGAGAAAGCGTTAACCTTAAAATAATTATAATGATAATTTTTCACCCCCCCCTTAATTATGACTAATAATTTTTTCGTAAGATTTGATTTATTAAATACAGATTATTACATGTAAAGGCGATTTTGGATACATCGCATACTTGTAGCACAAGATATTGAATCCAAGTATTTCATTTTTTACATGGAGTTCTTCCGTAAAAATAATCGATGTTTGTTATGAATTTCATAAGGTTTTATTTGTTAAAATAATGAATATATTTATAACCTTTCGCGAATTTATTGCACATGGGTGTAAAACTTTGCTTGTCTACCGAATTTTTTAGCCTCCAACAAATTAAAATCTACGTAATTCAACGACTCAAAATTCAAATTTAACGATTCGATGGAATCTCGACATTTTTATAATTACACAAACAATCGCCTAATTTCCATCATAGAGTGGAATTAATCTTAAATAATTACAGTTTGAAATTGAGGACGATCAATTTTATTTACGAAAAAAAAAATCTTTTACAAAGCATCATTACTTCAATTTTTTTATCATGGTAAATTTAATATATTTCATCATTTAGATTTGCGGCTTTGAAAGTAATTAGAATTATCATACTACGTAATTTCAAAAAGGAAACTTTTCGTCTTGTCAAAAAACGCTCTGCATTTTGAAACAATCCTATCAGGTTTTGCGTTTATCCTATCGTGAAGATCGTTTATAAGGTCTATCGTGTTTTGCGTTTATAGTATTTTGCGTTTATCGTGTTTTACGTTTATCCTATCGTGCGTGTATCCTGTCCTATCGTGCGTGTATCCTATCGTATCGTGCGTTTATCCTATCGTATCGTGCGTGTATCCTATCGTATCGTGTATCCTGTAAAGAATAACGATGCGGGTACTGTAACACTTTAGTTATCAAGTTAGGCATCAAGTATCAAACTTTGCTAGATGAGACGGGGTAACAGAATGAACCCATGATTTATTCAGGTGAATGAATGATTATGTTTAAAGATGCTATATGTATACACAACATACATGTACTCTTCCAATGTACAATATAAAACAATTTACTTACATTTGCTGTGTATTTTGTTTTACTATAACAACTATAGAACTGATTGAATGCTATTTCGTGTATAGTCACGTGTAGAAATATATACCAGAAACGCGTGTTAAAGTGATGTCACAATGACGCGACTGAAATTATATTTCTTGTTGGTTTTATAGCTTTAAAATGAAATTATAAAAATTGTTTTTAAAGTTTTTTAATGTGATTGGTGTTTAAATCGCTAAGGCGTTTCAGTAAATATGCCTATGTGATATGCCTGTGTGAATCTCACCTTTATTATTTTTATACCCTAGTTTTTTTAGTCGGATTAAATCGATCTAAAAGCCTGTGGTGTGATTCACACACCAATACCATAAAGAAAAACAAAACAACAATTTCATATACATGTATATATAATATGTCAATAATGTAGAAATTAATTTGATTCATGACAATAACAAATTTATTGGGATAGATTCTGAATAAACATGATGAATGTCAAGTGTTGCAAATTCAAATATACATGTATATATGACCATAAATATCAAGTAACAGGAAATTCAATATTGAGATTGAAGGGATCATAAAATTCAAACACTGATACCAAAAGAGGTAAAGCAACCGCTATGTTTAATACAACTGAATTCTAGACGAAAGAAATAAACAATAAAGAAATATAAGAATTCCTCAAAATACCCAAGTACTGAGACTACAAAACTGCTCCTCAAAAGAAGTTTTTCCTGAGGTGGCGATCTAACAGATCGTAAGGGCTCTTCCCTCTGGTTTAATTTGTCTGTAATAACCATGCCTGATGGTCTTAGGGGACAAAGAAGAAATAAGTTTATCTGATTATAGAGAACAAAAGTACGGAGGATCAATGATCTCCGGAATCTTTTACAGGATACTGACATCTTTTCTCTGTATATAGGTCAGGAGTAGCAATGAGTACAATTAGGAACATAATTCACATATATATTTATATATAGAATTACGAAAATTTGCAATCGATATATGATTCGTCAAAGCTACGTCTTTTTCGTTCGTAAAAAAAGATTGGGATTTGATTGCTTTGATCCCAAGACATATGATTCAAGCACCAAATTTTAAATTTCATATCTTCAATTCTGAATTATCGTAAGTCTTAAATACACAGCGAAATAGATTTCAAAGAAAATAATAATACCTTTAGAAAGATTACACAAAATTTTGAAGTTAAATTTCTAAACATTAAAATATGTATTGCACCTTATGCGTTCACCATGAATTTTTGTTTTCCTGAACCTAAAAAACAATGCACACGATTTATGTGGATAATTAAGATTTACTATTTGATAGATAACTCTGTCCCTGTCAGATATCAATGATTTTTCTACTCACAGCCAGACAGAAATTCCTCGGGAAAAAAATGACCTTAAGTCCGTTGTTGCGTGTTACGTATGTAATAAAGATGAATTTAAATCCATTCTAATTATTGCCACACGATCGATAAACTTGTTGTTATTTTCTCAGAATGTGGGCGACCTGATCTGCCGCTCTACGGAATTGACGCCTTCCACTTCCATAGACGAGGAGCCAGATCTGCTCAAGTAAGTCGGTTTTAAGACTTTTTATTTATATTTAAGGTACATCACATTATGTCCTGATTCTTTTGTCTATGGAAAGTATATGTGTTTTTCAAAATTCTGATTAATTTTCCTAAAATTTCAGTGAAGTTAACCTTGAATACTGCAACTGAAAGTTAGTTAATTAAGCTAATTATTCTTATTGCCAATACCTGTTTTGTATTGTAGTTGATTCCTGGATTTCGTCTTTTAATTAATTTAGTTTGTAATTATTGATATGTTTTGACATGAAAGTTATACATATCTTAATTTCTTTAAAATTTTGTGTTGGATCTGTTCTGTTAAAATTTGAGAACATGGATGAAAAGTTTACATTCTGTATATTAAGCTCTCTAGATCCGCTAAAATGTTTGGTTGCCTTATGGGATTTAAACAGGTATATATTTTGCAGTCATTGTAAATTCTTCATAATTTCATCAACGTGACAAATATGTTTCCGTTAATGCATAGGAATCAATTATTCAAAACATGAAAAACAGAGTTCCAATTAAAAATTGTGTTTCGAATGTATTTAATTACAAGTTTCTATAATTCCCATGGCTACATCGTTACAGTACACTGCAGTGTATTGAATAATCAGGAAATAACATCAAGTGAACTACAGTACAATTGTTTCAATGGCATTTATTTAAGAGACCTACATAATTTTGACTTCTGTTTAAGAAATTTAGTCTTCGGAATGGGCCACCGACATAAGATACTAGGTGTAAGCTGTATTCCAATTTCTTTTTTACAAATTCATCTGCTCCTATAATATAAAAATATAATCTCAATCCTTCAGAATTATTTCTCTAGGTTAAGAATTGCTCATTTTGTGTTATTGTTTTCTTCGAGAGCCCATACAAATTTAAAAAAAATCCCCCAGAATGACAGTAAAATTTGGAAATATTTAATAAGATAATACGAGAAATATAATAAGATTAACCGTTTTCCATGAAAACCTATTGTGATCCAAAGTAATTCTTTGTTTCTTTATCCTATACATATTCTATAAATACATTACATTTTAATTTTTTAAATAGAGCATTTGTATTCAATAGTTAAATAACTGAAAATATGAACATTATCAGGAGGAGGTCACTGATGGAATATCATCTCGGGGTTTTGAATTTTACCTGAGGTACACCATCTCATGTCCTATGATCCTCAATATCGGGGAGATAAAATGACAACAAAGATCTTTCACAGGTAAAAGTCGGTGAAACTTCTTGCTAAATAATGAAACTCAGTTTAAATCCTGTCCCATGTCATCTTATTCAGTTTTACAATCATTCACATAGTAACAAAAATTTTCAAACTCTCGTTAATTATATTCATGTTAAGTTTTATTTCATTTTATGATGTGATATAGATGTATAAATTGAAAAGCATCAGAATATCAATGACGTCGAGAAAACAAAACGTTTTCTGTCTGACCGTCACGGTAGCTCAGTAGGTAGAGCGCTCGCTCCGTGATCGGAAGGTCGTGTGTTCAAATTACGGCCGCGACAGACCTAAGTCGATAAAAAAATAGGAAGCAACTGTTACTTTGCCAAGCGCTCTGAACCTTGAAGTGAGAGGTGCGGATCCTTTGGATGAGACCATAAAAAGACCCTGCGTCACGGTAGGCGTTGGCACGATAAAGAATAAAGTAAATGTTTAAATTTGAAGCTCTTCACCGGTATATGGTGAAGTCTCTATATGAGTGAAAAATTCTCGAACGGGACATAAAACAACATACAATCAATCAGTCTTTTTCTGTCTGATCCAAAAGAATAAACCAAAAAGAATAGAACATTTACATGGCAGATTTCTATTCTGATTAAAGTGTAGAATCAAATGATTCACAATATGCAGTTTCTTAAAAGCTTAAACACTGGCAAACATTGCAAAAGTATGAAAATATCTAGGAATTTTTGGCATGTGGCATCTGAGAAGCGTAAGAATTAAATATTTGAATGTTGTAAACACTTCTTAATATTATTCATTTATGCATTATAACACTGCATGAAGGATAGGATAATCAAAAAAACTTCCTTCATATGCAGAATCAAGGATTCATTTGCTACAAGCTTGTTATAGATCAGTTTATTGTTACTCTTACAAGCTTGTCATATATTAGCTTGTCATAACTTATCTTTTATTGCTAATTTTACAAACTTGCCATAGCTCAGTTTATGTAAGATGACTTACATATATATATATATATATGTATATATATATATATGAAATATATGGAGATAACGAACAGCATTTAAGCTCAAAAGTCCATTAAACAATACAAAATAGGAGAAGAGCAAACACGGACCTCTAAACATCAGAGGTGGGATCAGGTGCCATGGATGAGTGAGCATCCCCTGCCGACCGGTCACACCCGCCGTGTGCTCCTTGTCATGATCGGGAAATAACGGAAAAATCCGTCGACAATTCAGTGTGCAAATAATGGCCTAACAATTAGTATGAAAAACGTCAGTCAGCATTTGACTCAATGATAAATTGTATTTGCTGACAAAGTCATTGTATCGACCATAGAACTTACGAAATGATGACTTTAAACGAGACAGCTGATATTCTTGTTTCATCAACTTGTTTGTCAATAATTTGCCTCGTTTTAGAAATTGTTCATACGTAGAGCATGCTCTTGCGTATCGAATCAACTGAGAGATATATACCCCGTATGCAGGTGATGAAGGTATATTGCTGCATAAGTAAGGGAAGTTGACGATTGAAAAGTTAAAGTCATCACGTTTATGATAAAGCTTGGTTGTTAGATTACCATTAACGTCTTTTTCAAGTAAAATATCCAAATATGAAACAGATGTGTCAGACTCTGTGGTATCTTTTATCTCAAGCTCACCAGGATATATCGTATCGACATAAGAATGAAAATAGCCATTGTTAATTGACAATACATCGTCGATATATCTAAATGTCGAGTTGAAGGCCACAGCAAGTGTTTTCTTCTTTTCACGTACAAGATTTTGGACAAATTCTGCTTCATATTAATACAAAAAAAGGTCTGCTAATAACGGGGCGCAATTGGTACCCATGGGAATTCCAATAGATTGTTGGAAGACCTGGTCTCCAAAAACCACATAGATATTGTCAATCAGAAACTCAAGCATCTTTTTAATGTCAACTTCACAGTACTTGTGTGTACAATCAGAATGTTTTTTAACAAAATAATTTTGCAAATGACCAATGACAAGGTAAGTATAATTACGAGTTCCATTTTTATTGAAAAAGCAGCTGTCAATTATATATATATATATATATATATATATATATATATATATATATATATATATATATATATATATATATATGTATGTATGTATGTATGTATGTATGTATGTAGTGTCATTAAAAAGATAAAATTTAAAAAAAAAAAAAAAAAGCCCAAAAAAAACCCTTTTTGTTTGAACATCAAATACTACTGAGCTCGAAAAATCTATTCTGTTATATTATTATTCTTTTGTTTGTATATCACTCGAAATATCAGACTTTTAATTGGTTGTTTTCTGTTTTGATTGAACGTAAGAAAATATCAACGAACTTCTAAAACCCTTTGCACTTCTGAAAAACAGAAACAAATTGTCCAGTTATCACCAGTGAGTGCTTTGTTGTTATTAACCTTTATCATGGGACAAGGCGATAATTGTAAAAACAAGTTAGAGACAAAAGCCTATATGTGGAACTATGACAAAGGATAACCTCATTGTACTGGTAAATGGTTATAAATGTTTAACACATTTTACTTTGAGATCTATCTTTTTTGCACGTCCTACCGAATTCGAAAGGTCTTAATGTAACAGAGTTGGGTTTTCATTGCGCAAAATTTTGTCCGCTATATAGTGTAATTTATTTATTTACTTTTGAAGAAATTATTTTGCATGAAATGTATGGAGATAACGAATAGTATTCAAGCTCAAAAGTCCATTAAACAATGCAAATTTTGGAGTAGAGCAAACACGGAGGTCTAGAACATCAGAGGTGGGATCAGGTGCCATGGAGGAGTGAGCATCCCCTGCCGACCGTTCACACCCGCCGTGTGCTCCTTGTCATCTTTCTTTAATCGATATAAGTAACATACTCCTTGTTCATCATGTTCATTTATTGTACATTTACTGATTCTTCACTACATAATAGTAAATCGATAAATTTTGCCAATTCCTAGAAAACACTCTAAAAAGAATGATTCAATAATTCATGAACTGATGAACACTTCTTCTGAAATCATAGCAATTTCTTTTAATTTTTTTGAAAAGTTTCAACATAAAATCATGAATATTCATAACGTAGCTCAATAAATTTGCCCGGTTCCCTGACTCATCCACGCCAATGTAGGAGAACCAGGTGGAGTTCACTGGAAATTATAAATCTGGAATCTTGATTACATGAAGATAAAATTCTAAGCATTTAATGAGCAATGAGAGGCAGATCACGTTACTTTTTTTGTATTATTGCTTACAGATCTATACTCAATATACCATTAATATCAATGCAGTGCCTTTCAAAGTCATTTATTCATTGTTTTCTACATGTATCTACATTCTCCAGTTTGTATCTGGAAAAATGATACTGCCGTATATTTGTATATTTTTGCATATGTCTGTTATTTTCCTAAATAAACCTGAATCTATATAGCTATAATCGCAATAGCTCTCAATGAATTCACAGAATGTGTCAAACACTAGAGAGCATCGGTATGGTATATACCAGCAGAGAAATTGCCATTCATGACGCCATGCTCACTAATAACGTTGCTTATTTCTTAAGAAGATGCAGTCTAAATAAATCTTAAATATAGAATTGTTTCATGATAAACTGCCTATTTTTTCTTTCTTTCTTTTTTTTTTTTTTTTTTTTTTTTTTTTTTTTTTTTTTTGAATCGGTATATTAAAACAGTTAAAGTATATCATTCAGTGAGTCAGCAAGATTACAACTCCCCTCGAACAAATATATTTTTCTCTCGGTTTCTCCTTGGGAAATAGGCTTGCTCTTCGTGAACTGGAATTTTGCTGTAACCCCGGATGATATGCTTTATCTGTGTATTAATCCCTAATGTTTTATTCTGAATGAAATTCATCGTTTAGGTTTCATTTAGAAATAGATAAAGGTGCTAGACGTGCAAACTTTATGCTTTGTATTGCCAGCAAGACAACAGTTCTGTAATGTCCTTTTTAGACATTGAAGTTTTATTCCAGTAGGATAGTCTTGTGGGAAAAGATTGCTTTATCGTATTCTTAACCCAATTATATAACATATTTTCAGCTTAATAAAGGAACTTTATATCTCAATGGAACATGTAACCTGTTTGATAATTTCAGTTGGAAACCTACACAGACTCTAAATCGGATTCTATAATAGGGTTTATCCAGTAAATTTTGAAAAAAAGATATTTAAACTTTATTTCATAATGGTCAAAGCCATAATCATCCTCAGAATTTTCAAAAAGTCCTATCGTGCCTAACATATTAGAAATACATTGCATTCTTTTGGGTTTTTTTATTATTTCTTGTATCTGGGTTTTTAAGCTGATCTATCTTTATCAATTTAGATGTTTTAGGCGACAAAACAAAACTTATGAAAAATACGGCAAACGTTTGACAGAAATGCTAGGAAGCTGACTGAACATGCAATAATCACATCAATTATCACATTATTCAGCAAATTAATCGAACACATAAAACTCCTGCCAAAGCAGGCTATAATTTGATATATCCAGTTCAATTGTAGCATTTGGAATATTGTAATTTTGAAACAAATACATACATATCATATCTGTCACGCCGATCAATGCAAGTTAAATTAAGGGCTTGGTAATAGTGAATTTTAGGAATGATGATTACTCAAAATCAAACCTTAATTTTTTTGTACTTGTCTTTGATTGCAATGGAATCAGATTACCACTGACCTGTTTGCCGTTTCTCTGACGCAATGACAAGACGATGTTCCTGGCTGACAGACTGTCCACTAAATCTGTTTTCTTTCAGAGGGATGATAAGCTTAAAGCGTCGAGATTCCGTGGACCTCGAGACGACCACATACCAAGCAGACCGTGCCCTGAGGGACCGGAGGAAGAAACTCGTCAAAAGGAATACTATAGCTGATTTCTATAAACATGATCCTAATCTAGATCCTAATGGAACTGGTGAGTGGCGCCAAATTATATACAAGTATAGCTGATAATTTTTAAGTAAATAAAAATCCACCAGGGCCTAGGATGAATGAGTATTCCCTGTCGATCGGTCACACCCACCGTAAGCCCGAAGTATTGATCAGCTAGACGGAGGATTCCTTAGTGAATTATAAAAGCAATGACCTAACAAATTGTATAAAACTCCTCCAGGGGCTCGTGTTTTTGCCCTGTTCACGATTCATTTTGTTTCCTGGATATAAGAGATTGATCAATGTTCATATCTTCACTTTTTACAGTATACAACATGACCTTTCTCTAATGTATGCCTTGTCTCATTTGCAGAGTACAGAAGAGGCAGACAGACCTTTCCGTTTTCATTCAATAAACTAGTAAGTTTTGTTTTCGTTACCAATTTTAACCATACTTTGTTAAATAACATGAAGATATTGGTTTCGTGTGGAAAAAACAAAAGCATATATAATGTATAATCATAAATTGCATGAGAATGTATATATTTCTTGAAGGCTTTAGAACATTTTCAAGAAGTAAAACTAATTATAAATATCTGATACATTAATTAAGATAATTGCAATAGGAAAAATTCATTTTCATAAAGATAAATGGTTTTAGATCCGCGCCAGAAGTAAAGATGAAATAACGAAGCTGAGCGAGGCTCTCGCTACACTTACTCCGTCAAAATTCTCAGACAATGATCTCTCAGGGTACAAGGTAAGACAGAGGCATATTTTTTTTCTTTTGAAAAAAATGTACCGGTACTAGTAATTAGAAACAAAATCAGTTGATGCAAAAAAAAAAAAAATCCATTCATTCAAAGGCCGGAGAGAAAGAATTGCTTATTGTGTTTGAGCTCTCTAGCGTACTTATTAAAGAATATTAAAAGAAAATTGATAATTACACCAGGTTTTTATTGAATATATTATTCCCAAATACGCACAATATCTAATGAATTTCTTTTTATGATCGATATCGGTGATTGATTGAAAGTTTTTTTTTTTCAAAGTCTTTCCATTGGTCTGACCTGATTGCAAGGACAGAAAACGATGAAAAACCCCTGAAACTGCCCGATATAGAAAGGAAAAGAAGAGAGGCAATATGGGAACTCTTTACAAGCGAATGTGTATTTCTTATAGATCATCTCATGGTCCTGAAACACGTACGTAATGGTTAATATTTGTTAAAACAAATTAATTCCAAAATTTTGGCATAGACTTTAAAACATCATTGAAAAATCTTTTGTTAGACATACGTGATTGCTGATATAAAATGTTTAGATTTTCTAAAGGTAGAAAAATGCCACAGTTTTTGTGATTAGGTTTAAAGCATTATGGAAAAAGTCATAACGTATTCATTTTTATGGTATAGAGAGTGTTCGAAATCTTTGACATTTGTCTACTTATCTAGACTTTTGTCTGATTTTGATAAACTGAGTTGGGATTATGCCTCTACCAGTTTGAATTTGATAATGCAAGTAACATGTGCTCAGAATGATAAAAATAAAGAAAGCATCCAGAATTTTTATTTGGCGTCAACTCTATTTATTGCAAGTATCAGCTTCAATCGTCCATAGGAAAATAAATGCAGCAGGAAAATTTTGAAAGTGTTATGTTCTACATATTTTGAACATAATTTGATTTATGACTGTAGGAAGAAAGAATTGTAAAACTATTTTTCTTCATTAATGATCGTCACTGAGATAAAGTATTTGACCAGAATTTAACGTCATACATTATATTGTATATCTAAATTAGTCTTCTTGTGTATCAAATTTTACTCACATCAAACAATTACCATTACGGTAAGAGCAGTAAATATTTATGAATCTGTAAATCGGAAATATACGCAAATAATTGCGAAAATGATTTAAACGTCATGCATTTCATGTATGAGAGGTTTTACTACAAAAAATATATAATCACATCCTTTTAGAACCTATTTGTTATGCTATGAACAATACATATGACGTTGATATTTTAGCTAGGCAGGAAATATTTGAAATACCAATGTCGCAGATAGCAGAAAAAGGAAATATCTCGATGAGTAGAAGAATACATACCTTTACGTAGTAAACATAAATCTGATTTTAATTAGATAAGATGAAAGAACAGAAACAATATTACAAATTACTGTATTCACATGCGAAACAATGAACGACATAATATTAAAGATCAAATCCATTTAACTGGTCTGTTCGCCCTAGCAAGCTTAATTAGTTGTTTTTTGTTTTTTGTTTGTTTTTGTTTTTTTTTTTTTTTGTTTTTGTTTTTTTTTTTGTTTTTTGTTTTTTTGTTTTTTGTTTTTTTTTTGCTTGACCCACAGTTTTATATGTATATACGTTTTATATGTGATGTGCGTAATGTCCCATTTACTTGGTTTTGTAAGAATAAATTGAATTTTTCCATTAATACGTTGAAAGGACTTTCAATATAAGCTTCATTACTTAACTAATATATCTATATGATATGATATATGTTTATGAATTTCTGTGTAAATCGTGCGTATTATTAGTAAACTAATAGCTCATAAAATTTAGTTTCCTTTTTTTCTTGTAGATTTACTGAGTTTAAAAATTATTGTATGCTTTTTTTAATATATAATTAAACAACATACGTACAAACCTGTATTCTATTACTTTTTGAAAGATCTTAATCTTAATCTAAAATACTTTTTATTCTCAAGAAGCATAAATTCGTACATATTTGATATTGGTTGTCAATTTCGTTTCAGTGCTTCATGGAACCTTTAAAAAGGCTTCAAGTTGACGATCATTTAATGTTTGCAGAGCCTAATGAAATTTTCAGTAATCTGGACGAACTGTGTTACGTGAGCATTAGCTTCATTTTCATGATTATGTTTTTCCATATTTCGAGTAAGTTTATAGTCAGATTCACTGGATTCATTACTTTACGTATTCATTCTGGATTAATATCACGCAAAGTAAGCAAGCAAAAAAAAAAAAAAATAAATAAATAAATAAATAAATAAACATGAAACTGTAATGATATGGTTTTTTTTTTTTTTCTTAAATTACTTCTCCTCATATATTATGAAGGAGATGATAAATATATTCTTTTTTCTATTTATTTATCGTCAACATCTTTTGAATATCTTTTTTGATAAAATAAGTTAGCAATTTAACAAATCTGTAAAGAGGGTTCTCATGCATGACTCATAAAAGTTAAAGAAAAACTGCCAACTAAAGATTAAGATTAGATTCATCATTCAAAATTTCATTGCCGAATATTTCTCTCAATAATGATTTTTTTTATGTTTTGTGAGAGTAAACTACAAACACTTATTTTCTTATTTTATACCTTACGTTTGTTAAAATTATTACCTAGATTGGGTAGCACAATAAATTTAATATTTAGTGAGACATTTTAAAAAAAAAACATGTATTTCAATTAACAAATTTCCTCATCCAAATATTTTTGTGATGAACAAAGTTGATTGCGAGGTGAGAAGGGGTTATAATGCGTCATATTATAATTTTGTTTATTGTAGGTAAGCTACACATTTTGTAAGGAACTCATCACTGTATTATTACGAAGCATGAAATCGGAGGAGATCTGGCCAGCATCATCTCTGGTTGAAGCATTAGATAAGGTAGATTATATTTAAAATAGATGTGATCAATTTGGATAGAATGGGTGTTATTTATCACTTTCTAATCTCTAACAAGATTGATTCTTAAGAACATTTCACAAATGCGTATTGCTTGTGTAGTGAAATTATAAATACTATTTAAAGTTTATGAATTTATCTGGTAAATCAAGATTGTTATTTTTCTACTTCAATACCTATTGAGAATAATTATATCAATTCTAAAGAATATATACAGGTAGATAAAAGAGTTACTAAGAAATGTACATAATATATCTCAGCATTTTCGTTATCATTTATACAAAGTTTTTCAAAGCAATAGCGACTATAGAGTGTCCATTTTTGTGATTTTCCAGTTCTCTAAACTATCTGATGATGGTAATGTCTATCACACATACTGCATCTCATATTCCAAGTGCTTAGAGTATGTAGAGAAACTTAGGAAAAACGAGAATTTTGTGGAGTTTGAAAAGGTAAGCTGATTTAAAGATTCGCCTACAGTTTGTTTTTTTAAACTATGTTTGCTTACCTCTACAATTGAATTACATTTTGAGTATTTGTTTCCATACAACAAAACTCTTATCAAAAGTTTTCACAGATACAATTTTTAATTTTTAATTTCTTTTTTTTTTTTTTTTGAAAAATAAAAGACTATAGGAAAAGCACTCAAATTTGAAAAGCATTTGTTCTGCATGCAACATAACATAAAAATTAGTCAAAATGTATACATCATAGAGGACTATAATTTACTGAATTTGTCAAAGTTCCTTAGTCACAATGTAGAATCGTGAAGTTTTTGGACATTCAAAAATTTAGTGTAACTCATATATACAAAAGAATCAATGAAGTGATATATTGACACTAAACTTTCGTCTCCTATGAACTGTGATGATTCCACGGTTGTTTTATTTTTAGTTCACGGTAATGAAAATAACGGTTTACTTATGGTTAAACATTTTACTATAGAAAGAATTTGATGGAATTGTCTGTAGGCATATTGCATGCTTAGTTCCTGATTTTTTACCTGAAGGACAGAATAACAGGCATAGATCTAATAAACATGTCTAAAACATGAAGTGATAGATTCAACATATAGTCAGAATAAAATCTGATCCTTGATCTACTTTTTTTTATGGCGTGGATCAATGGTGTAATAATTGATTTGCAAACTGATTAATTTTAATCAGATTGACTCAACATACATATAAATTTCACCCTTTTCAGTGGTGTTCTCTGGATCCTCGATGTCGAAGGTTACAGTTAAATGACTTCTTGGTGGCTCCGATGCAGCATTGCACAAAACTTCCTCTGCTCCTGGCCAACATAAGGAAATACACGTCATCGGATTATGATAAAAGTATTCTGGCATTGACTATCGGCAAAGTAGAGATATCCCTGCGTAAGTTAACAAAACATTGATTTTGAATTATCAAATAATATATTAATGATGACTAAAACCCTTCCGTAATAGAATCATAAAGAAGAATTTCAAAGTACTTTTAATCAATTATTAAGAAGTCCATTCGAATATTGTTTGTATATGCTTTAGAGTGCTTGGATGAAAAAATGAGGAGAGAACGGAACACACAACGTTTACAAGAACTCCGACAACAGATAATGTGGCCCATTGTAACAGATCTAGATCCCCGTACATACATTCCAGAGGTTTGTATTGGTTTAGAACTCAGACAACAGCAAATGTGGCCCATTGTAACTGATCTTGATCCTCGTACATACATTCCAGAGGTTTGTATTGGTTTAGAACTCAGACAACAGATAATGTGGCCCATTGTAACAGATCTTGATCCCCGTACATACATTCCAGAGGTTTGTATTGGTTTAGAAATCAGACAACAGATAATGTGACCCATTGTAACAGATCTTAATCCTCGTACATACATTCCAGAGGTTTGTATTGGTTTAGAACTTAGACAACAGATAATGTGACCCATTGTAACAGATCTTAATCCTCGTACATACATTCCAGAGGTTTGTATTGGTTCAGAACTTAGACAACAGATAATGTGACCCATTGTAACAGATCTTAATCCTCGTACATACATTCCAGAGGTTTGTATTGGTTTAGAACTCAGACAACAGATAATGTGACCCATTGTAACAGATCTTAATCCTCGTACATACATTCCAGAGGTTTGTATATTGTCCCTGAGACGCATAATGCGAGATTTCAAGTTCCATCTGATACATTTTATTTACAATTTATCGGAGTAGTGTTTCACATTGTATTCATCATAATCTATCGTTGTAGTGTTTCACATCGATCTCATCACAATATGTCGTTGTAGTGTTTACGATCATCGTTTTCACAATCTATCGTTATAGTGTTTACAATCAGCGTTCTCATCACAATCTATCGTTGTTGTGTTTACGATCATCGCTTTCACAATCTATTGTTGTAGTGTTTACGATCATTGTTCTAATTACAAACTATCGTTGTAGTGTTTACGATCATCGTTATCACAATCTATCGTTGTTGTGTTTACGATCATCGTTATCACAATCTACCGTTGTAGTGTTTACGATCATCGATTTCACAATCTATCGTAGTGTTTACGATCATCGTTTTCACAATTTATCGTTGTAGTGTTTACGATCATCGTTCTCATCACAATCTGTCGTTAGTGTTTACGATCATCGTTATCACAATCTATCGTTGTAGTGTTTACGATCATCGATTTCACAATCTATCGTAGTGTTTACGATCATCGCTTTCACAATCTATCGTTGTAGTCTTTACGATCATCGATTTCACAATCTATCGTAGTGTTTACGATCATGGCTTTCACAATCTATCGTTGCAGTGTTTACGATCATCGTTCTCATCACAACCCTGTTCCTCACTTCTTTCCTGTCCACATCGGCTCCTTCTCCACGAGGGACAACTTACTTTAATTCGTAAGTATTTGTAAAAAAACATTATTCTCTCAAATTATATTTATAATAATGCAACTTTTCAGAAAACCATTGATTATCATGTAATATTTATTGCTGATGATCTCATTGTTTATATATGTCAAATTAGGTGACTTATGTCGCCTACCAATGAAGCAAATTAAAACAGAATAAAAATATCCACATGGAATACATTAAATTTTTTTAAGGTGACACACCAGTAAGAATATTTCTAATAAAACATTGCTAAGCAGTTTGTAAAAACGTATTACTTTTAGCAATATGTATAGAAGTATAACATCTTAACCAGATCCACTAAATAGATAATCGATCAAATATAAGCTGATTGTGTTGCATAGATTTAGATTTTTTCAACTGAATAAAAAAATCATTGTTTAAATCTTAATTGATTTGTTTCCAGTCTTACAATGAGCCTAATGAAAAAAGTTCAAAGTGTGCAACAAAAGTTAGTTCTTAAATTTAAAATAGATGTATTGACCCCTTCTTATTCAATGTGTTATTTTTAATGCTGTCATTCCATTTTAGTAACATACAGAACCTCTATTCCAATAGTAGATTCTTTTTATTTGCAAATCTTGGTTAAAGTATAGACCGACATTTATTTCAGAAACAACGAAAAATGTAGATGTTTATCTCTTTTTATTTGATGACCTGCTATTAATTACAAAAACCAAACGAGGAAGAAAGGTGAGTTGAAATACAGCAAATATTAACCAAACGGTCTAGAGTCTCTTTTGTTATTATATTATGCATCTCTTTTTGAAAGGTATAAATATGATTATGAAAACAATATACATGTATATCTATACTACTATATTAAAATAATAGACTCGAATTTTTGGCCTTTAATACCGATAAATCCGAAGAGTACCGTCTTTTATTTGATATATTTTAAACATCATTGGTACTTGAAGATTACCAATTTGTTTTTATTTTTTCTCAATTAAGCTTCGCTAATTAATAATCAACGAAAATTCCTAAAAAAAATTCCGGAAATCATCTGGATTTTTTGGATTTTACAATCTTGCGCGTGCGCATAACATCCACGCTAAATCACGGTGTTCAAATCAATCTCCCTTGCAGAGTTGTCGTTCGTTTCTCTCTTATACACGAATGTATGAGCCGTAGGTCGAGAGTGTGTTCAAATCAGAGAAGACAAAAGTATATACTAAGTAGATATATATTTGTTATTGTATAATTTCTCTAATAAGAAATCTTTAATGTATATGAACAGAATATATAGTAAATTTCCAATGAATATTTACACGTATTTGTCATAGGCGTCGGAACGGGGGGGGGGGGCTAGGGGGGCTTAGCCCCCCCCCCCCCACTTTTTTTTGCAAAGATAGGCATAATATAGGCATTGAAAACTGGGGCTTACCTTTTTTCGTTGGTTTAGCCCCCCCCCCCCCCCCACTATCAAATAGCCACCCCACTTTCAATTTGCTTCTGACGTCTATATGTTTGTATTATCGTAATCGTTTCTGAGTTTATATCCATACAAATGTGATATTGTGGCCACGTGGGTAATCATTTGCCATCTCGGAGACACATTTATTATATGTTATTTATATCTCTCGCCATCTCAACGGAGGCAAAAAGCTCATGATCGTAGGAGCAACATTATTGTAACTACCCGATTTATTTTATCCCTCCTTTCTTTTATGCTTTTTGAGGGGAACTGAAGGGAGGGGGGGGGGGTGTTACAACTCCAGTTAGAATCACATCTTAGTGAAGTAGGCATTCTTTTTCCGCCAAAAATTACAATAACTACTATATAAAAATTATAGACTCGAATTTTTGGCCTTTAATACCGATAAATCGGAAGAATACTGTCTTTTGTTTTATGTATTTTAAACATCATTGGTACTTGAAGATTACCAATTTGTTTTTATTTTTTCTCAATTAAGCTTCTATTTTTATTACTTTTTCTATGTACTAATTCAAGGATATTACATTAATTTTTATCAAAACAGACAGTCTTTTACAGATTATATACCTGTCTATTACCTGTGTATATTACCTGTGTATATATAAAGTATATGTATTAGCAGTGCTTAACTCTTTTATTGTTGAGGTCATATTTTGAAAAAGTTGAGACCTGCAGTGTAAAAATTGTTACAAAATTTTTTACACCTTTTCTTTAATAATTGACTGTGTAAAAATACCAGCTTAGCACAATTCTTCATTTTCATTACTTTGCTTGATATGTATCAGCAGTGTGCTCAACTCTTTGCTGTTATCACATTTTCAATGAACATCGATCCATAATTTCTTTTGTTAAATTTGTTTGGAAAGGTGAAATTTATGTAAGCTCCGGCGTGATTCGAACTCAAGACTTGATTTATAGCTAACTGGTGGTCAAACCCATTCTGCGCTACGCCATTACGCAACAATTTAAAAAAAACAAAAACAAAAACAAAACAAAACAAACACAAAAAAACCAGAATTATATTAACATTCATTGTTTATTTCAAAAATATCTTACAATATGAATGTGTCGATGTATCTATTTTGTAAATGTCCGATATGCACATGGATGCATTCATAACAATGTCAACCCGTGCACGCACGGGTCAAAATCTAGTCGTAATTATCAGAGTATCTCAATTCATAATTGATAAAGCAAGCAAGATTTTTCGTCTCATTTCAGAAACCGTCTGATCTTGGTCAAACAGACAATAAATCCTTCTACGTTGTGTATAGACAACCTATTGAACTAAGATGTCTAAAAATTCATGACGTGGACACATACGACACCTCAGGTACATGCCCATTCTTATAGTTATAGAAATAGAACATATCTGGGGGAAAAAAACTAAGTAGATGTTTATATTTTTTTATGTTCTCATCATACAAAAGTTGTTCCTCTTCACATGGAATAATCTTCAATTGTAAAATTAATCAGTTTTATTTCAGGTAGTAATATAAAGAATGCTTTAGTTTTGGTACAAGTGAGTACATTGCAACAAGTCATAGGATTATACACTCTCCAGTGCCCCTCAGAATTTACAAAGGTAATCATTATAAATTATATACTAGTTTTATGTTTAGTAGGCAGAAATGTTGATAAGAATTTTGTTTTCAATGCAATAATAATATTTGAAATGCCCTTGTTAGCAAATAACAATTAAATAGCTAACATATCTTAATAACTACATGTAACAAGTAGACTTGTTTAAAAGTATTTCTTATCCCTAAGTATTCCAGAGTTGGTAAAACAAATATGACATCAAAAATTAATATTTATAAACTTCTTACATTGTCTCTCTTCATTATATCAGAGCCCTTAATTTTTCAAATAAAATGTTTCATAACTACAAAACGTAAGTTTATTTCTAATATGATTTTATCAATTCTATTATCACTTTGTTCAACAGGATATGTGGATATCAAAATTAAATGACGCTAAATCAAAATGCTACCTGGTGAGAAAAGATCCATGTCTGGAGATCGCGACGTCAGATCCTGTTCCGGCCAAAGATCAGTCACCCAAAACGAGGCGACGAATACGCATGCTCAGGAATCACAAAAAGAAATCCATTTCCATGGACACATTATTTACATGTAGTGAATAGCATGCTCATTGCTTCAATATCAATAATTTACAATGAAACTGGACTTTGACAACAGCGACTATCAGTAAATTTAAAATATGAAAGCTTCGATATCTTCAGCGTTCAGTTATACCTCAATCCAAATATGCATAATTTCACGATGTTCTCATTAAATTCACCTCACCCCACCCCAAAAAATAAATAAATAGAATTCTTATCCTAGAGAAGATGTTAAGATACTTGTGCCATGAACAGGGTTGATAAAACGTTCACGAAAACGTAGCCGTTATTTGATCGTTTTCGTAGTCAATGTCGTACGCAGATTTAATTTCACCCTAAAAGTCCAGTTTGTTGCCAAATTTTCGAATATACAGGTACCGATCTAAAAATACCTAGATAATTTAACAACAACAAAGCAATGTGTTACTTTTAAGTTAGTCCATTGTATTAAAATCATCACATGTACGTCTTTCTTCGATTTAATACTCAAACGAAATATATTAATCTTATCGCATTTTTTTTAAATGAAGAAATGATTTCCTCTTTGTTTGAACCTAAAAAATATTGATTATTGATACCCGCAGGCTTTGTCTGGCTAATAGCTCACTGTGATATAAAAGTATAATATCATGTTCAATGTTCTTACCTACAATTATGAAATGACACAATCATTTCAATTGAAACTCGTTAAACCTACATACTAAATATATCAATACATTAACATTTAATTCAGATTTCTGCGATGCTTATTTTTTTCAGAAATTTAAATATTTTTTATTATATCTTATTTAATGTTATTGTTTGTCGTCTTTTATTATCCTTAATGTCTATCATTGTTGTACTGAATCTTTCTGTATGTTTTGATGTTTACCTGTTTGTTAAATATTAAACAAATTAATACATCTTCATTTGTTTTCCTTTTGAGTATGAAAATCGCAAAATTAACGAAAAAAGGATAAATACTCATGTACATATATCCCTGGATAAACCAAATAAAACCGATGGAAAAATCGTAACAATGAAAAAACACAGGTGGTAGCAAAGAAGGAAATGCACCAGGAACAATATTTTTTCTCCCAAGTAATTAAATCAAGTCAACTACCTCTGGACATAAAGCAACTATCCTTTGTTACGTGTGTAATATCCCTGTAGAAAACAATTGTGTTCGAATTCATTCGTTAAAGACCAACATTTGCAGAATATATCATATCATAACCATGTTTCAAAAATTCGTGAGAATGACGCACAGTTGACTGACGTGGAATGACAACTGAAGTTTTGCCTATTGAAGACATGAAAAAATAATTTTATTCACCAATACTTGATAACAAATAACTCACGAACTTCAAACAAAGCTATAGTTGAGAGAAGAGGCAGAGTAATGCGCCGCGTTTCGATAATTTTAGTTGTTAGATTTCGTTTGTTCAATCTCTGCCTCTCTTAAGAAAACTGAAAAAAATATCATTATCATACATCACCATACAATATTTCAGATATTCAAAAAGGATACTTGCTGATAACTATGAAAATTCTTGAATAAATTTAAAATCATTTCAATGCAGTATAGCTTTGATAAAATTTTGAATAGAGATAATTTTAAGGTCTATTTTTAGGACTGGACTCGATCTTGCAAGGCTAACACATGTACCTATATTTGATAAAAAAGAAGAAAAAAAACTAAGATTGATCAAAATAACGCCATAAATATGAGATATTGAGGTTTGATAATTATATGACCTATATTTGTTTCACATAAAGGGTCTATCAAGATACAATTTTAAGAAATACAAGATATCATTCATCTAACAATCCGTATTGAAATAAAGTCGTTCATTGAAACTGGAATCCAATGTCTAGTTCACCTCTTTGAACTATCCCATATAAGTAAAAATCTGAATTTCAAACTCCTCCTCACCAGAGTCACACAAACAGATAAGTCTGTCTTCATTATCACAACATAGACTTCTTATAACAGTCCCTCTCAATTTGATTGGTTGTATCTCTGTCAGATTTTCACCAATAAAATGAATTGCTGGTTGTCCTCGACTGTAGACAACAGTGTTCCCAAATTTGTCACACAAAAGAAGATGTGGTTTCCCAAAGTCTTTTGCTTGGTATGTCCCTTCTGCTTTTCCAGTCGGATCTAAAATAAGTAACCTACCTGTACCTTTATCTATAAGCCAAACGTCACCATGTATATCCTCCTGAATTTTGAACGGATAGTGAACAAAACTCTTATCAAATTTAATTACTTGTAGAACCCTTCCGCAGTAATCACATTTTGAAATTCTGTATTCTCGATGACGACCTCTCTGCTTCTTCTCTTGGACAATGAGCAGGAAGCCTGTGTACGTGCAGCTTACATCTATGTACCTCCAGTACTGTTCTTTACGCAACGTTTTTACAAAAGTTTCTTCAAGATCAAATTCCATCAGCACATCATAAACGGCTATGAGGTACTTTTGATTTGATATCAAAGCCATAGCACAGTGCAGAGGACTTTTATGAGTTACCACCTCGGTACTCTTCTCACATACAACTTCTCCGTGGAGATTCTGTACCGACAGGCCATGCATGCGGGAAGTTCCATCATGAGAAAATACAAGCACTGTCACCAAGTACACTGGACCTTCCAGGTTACTGACAATAAAATGAGATGAGTCATTGTACACGTTCGGAATAGAAAGCTCTTTTTCACTCTTTCTGATAGTGGTCACCATTTTCATTGGTTTTGGATACAGGTGTGGACGTTCTGGTAAAAACGATGGACTTGAGTTAAAATCGCACTGTACTTGAAATTTCTTTCTTGCTTGCTTTCCGGCTGAATTCGTCGGTCTATATGTTTCGATTGTTTTAAATACTTCAGAAAAGCAATTCTTGGCACTTAATTTTGTAATCATTGGATTGAAGTTTACACGAACATGTAACTTTTGTAGAAAATTGTAGTCCAGTAAGTTTGTTGCTATTTCTTGTGAATAATCTTCGATAATTTTTGTCCTTCTTTCGATCTTAAGAGCAAGAAATAAAATGTCCTGAGGTAGACTTACACTGAATTGTTTTAATGCAGTATCTGCTCTTCTCAATAGCTTCCGAGAACATTCTTTCCATTCAAAATTAAATGCAAATCGTTGCGATGTTTGAGAATTTGAAAAGGGCGCCAAAACTTGACTCACGGTATTGATTTTCCCTATCTGTCCATCAATACATGAATAAATGTCTTTTTTCATCTTCTCGTAATACGGTTTAAAGTGTACATTTAATGTAAACAGTTCATCTTTAAGTTGTTTGATATTCCGCCTTATTAAAGTGTGTATTCTTATCACATTATGTATTGAATGGATCTTTAAACATACGTCACAGACAGGCTGGGAACAGGAAGTACAGGTCCATTCACACGTGTTTGTTGTGTGTATTCTGCACAAAAATCCCTTGCATTTGCCAGAAAACCTTTCTCTGTACAGGCAAACAAAATGGCCACTTTTGTTGTCAGTTTCTAAGTGCCCAGATACACATAATTGACAGAGTCCTTCGTTACAAATTGTACAGAACAAACTCACGGGTTCAGCACAAAAGTCGCAAATTTTTACCACTAATCCATCGGACAAAGACATCTACAATTAAATTACATTCACAATTTACCAAGTGACATTACCTAAGACAAATATCTCGCGTGCCAAGCACAGACATTTTTTATAATTTGTTTTCATCAAATTACCCCTTCTCAAACATACCTTATTTATTGCATATTGTACACTGAGACAGAATGGTCGAAATATTTGATATAAACTAAAGTATATTACTGAATGTTGTCGTTAATAACGAAATTGTTAACTACTTATTACAACAGTTGGTTGATCTTGAGTAGTCACAAATGATCAAAATAAATGATGTCGTATTCCATGCTTAATCAGAAATATAAATGGAAAATTTTTTTACTGGAGTTGTCATATTTTTTTTAAACTGTCAATATTATAGACGTTAATTAAGAACATGAATGTTGTTAACATTAAGACATTGTTTAAATGCATGCATATTTATAAAATAGCGTAAACACATCCTTACAGATAATCAGAAAAAACTGAAAATCAACATTTAGAGGTTTGTAAACAAGAAAGTACATACTACATACTCGTGCATACCTCTTTTAGAAATTATTTGTTAATAAATTGTTACAACATTTAATCCGTGGATGATTGTCTCCCATTAACATCACATGTGACAATATCCTGATGCTCTGGCTCATCTAGTGCAAGGCCAACAGAAAGGGTACAGAGAACCAGGCTTCATGCCGACCGATATTTCCGTATAACATTTTTTTCTGCATAAATCCAGAGGACATCCGAGAAATGTCTACTTTCTTTTTCTATGCAAAATGATAGACAGCATTCCATTCAATGTCAATATGAATGGTGCGATCGATATCAACGTGTGTAACCAAGTGTTAGACTAACACACGTTCAGGATTAATTTTATTCCCTTTGGCATCTAAGTGTATATTTACCATTTTTCTATGAAGTGGACTCGATCAACTACCTGAGTGAAATAAGCTTAGGAAATGAATATCTTTAAAAAAAAAATACTTGTGAAGATCCACTTTACCTAAATAATGCGTTTGTTTTAAAAAAGTCAAATGTGTAATCCCCATAGTAAAAAAAAATTAGAAGAATGTTGATAAACATATGTTGCAATTTACTTCTGTATATTTTTTATCAGATCTTTAATGAAAATGCAAATATATGTATAAAAATCAATTTTAATCAAATCAATTTCACAATAATTAAGGATCTTTGTAAGAAAAATAATAAGCCGTACATGTTTTCACCATATTTTGAAGAAAAAATAGACATCCTATATATTGGTCATTCATTCTTTTTGTACAACAAAGGTCAAGCTCAAATTAAGAGGACAAAGGTCAAATATAGTGATGTCATCTACAGAATCTTTACATTATTTGGGGGGGGGGGGGGCATTTGATTTATTCCAAATCGCCAAAATATCTGAAACCTCTGGTTCAAATTTCCTCATTTTGTCATTATTTGATCTGGGTTCCATTTCAAATATTCTGTTCATTTATTTGAAAAGAAAATTGAATTATACATTTTCTTTAAAGAGGACTGTCTCTTGTCAGCTTTTAAGAAAAATTCAGTCAGAACCTTTCACTTCAAAACAATTTATTACAATTCAAATTTAGTACCGTATTTGCATTAAACAACGCAAATTATAAAACATTCAATTCAAAAACTGGTCACAAAATCATAAAGAAACAAGACTTATGGGGGACTTCTTCTTGTAGTGGAAGGATATTTAATTGGAAATTCTTCAAATGTACACACTTGTTAAATTTAATATCGTGGAACTTAAGACCTACATATTTTTACTCAGAGCATTTTTTTTTTCCTTTATTGCGCAGAAATATTAAATATAGGTTTCAATTAAAATTTTTTAACAAATTTTTCACATTCACTCAACAGACTTTGCCACAAAAAAGATCTATAGATTGATTGTATGTTGTGTTACTTCTCATTCGAGAATTTTTCACACATATAGAGAGGTTAAAGATATATAGAAGTTTAGATAAAACTCACACTGCTTTTTGTCTGAAAATGTCATTTTTTGCCCATCTCAAAATTTACCTCACTGGCTCCATTTTTCCTTTCATTCTTTTAAACTACAAGATACTTCTAACCGATCAGCATTTAAGTCATAAAAGGCTTGATGCAAGAAAATATCTTATTGACTATTTGTTGTCTTTCTTTTCTATTAATGTTCTTACGTAATTTATTATGTATCTGAGTATATAAATAAAAATTTGAATAAGATACACAATGACCAAATACTCGTATACACTGTAGCTAATGGCCATTCAAAATACTGACATTCTTACTCAAATCTGTAAAATGATTCAGAACAATGGAATATGATTTATGAAGAATTGTATTATTATGCATTACGCTTCAAGTCATACACTTTGATCTTTTATACTCATAAGCTGTCTTGGCTACTCGGGGAACAAGACTGACAGTTCATACCATCAGACTGTTCAATAGGCACCCCAAGTAGCCAGGCCAACAAGTTAAGTTTTCCTCCTGTAAGCTGTCTTGGTTGCTTGGGGTAAAAGACCGAGCAAGCTGGTTCCTCTGAACATATCGCCAGACTGTTCAGAAGACATCGTCCTTTGGTACCTTATGCTGCCAGGTCAGCAGGTCAGCAAAAGATATACTTTTACTTTTTGCTATATTATTTTTAGAGCCACAAACTGTTCTGCTTTGAAGGTGTATTTCAAGTAATGTAATGTACATAAATATGGAAGTGTATTTTGAATGAATACATATTTATATGTGAATGTATAGAAGTGTAAATGTGTTTGCTTGGAATGAATTTACATAATGGTTATACTTTCATTATGATAGTAATTTTATGATTACTTTCTTATTGGTATCTACTTCTTCTTAACCTAGTCTGTTCATTGAGGTGTATGGCAGTTTGGTTCTCCTTCATATTGCATATAATACTTATATTTCATCGTGTGAATTATACTAGTAATTTGTTAGCTGAGAACTTTTGCAAGCGAAGATCAGGTCAATATTGCACCTAATGCAGCCATCACTTGTGATAATCATGATTATATTCTTTTGTTTTTTTTATTATACATGCCCCTTGAGGGTCCTTGATTGGATATATATATATATATATATATATATATATATATATATATATATATATATATATATATATATATATATATATATATATATATATATATAGCACTAAAAATGACCAACTACACGAACAAGAATAATTGTCAAATTTTCGGGACGACCTGTCCCTTCCTCAGGACAAAGAAAAAAGTTACGAAGTCATAAAAACAAAGGAAATAGAGAAACAAAAACACCTAGCACTACTACTAAACTACCAAACACTAAATATTTACAATGTTACATGTTTAATTTGAAGTTTATAAACAGTTGTGAACAAAGAAATCCGGAGCGCTATGAATTGCGTCCGGTCTATCGGGTGTACTCTGGTGAAGTGCGATTTACATAATTGAACGAATTAATTATCGCTAATTAATTAGGACCAAGCAGTAAATCGTACATTGTCTTATTCTCTCAAAATAGCGTAACTATACATGATAAAAAGAAATTAAAGAAAGATAATGTGGAAGGGCAATTTTATAATATGAATTTGGATAAATTATAAATCTGGAAATCGGATAAAAGAAATAAACAAAAATGTAAGCTGTAAATATTTGGGTAGGTTGTTCCAGAATTGCTTATGCGAATTAACGGTAAAGTTTACACTATATAGAGAGAATGAACTTGTTTGTTACAATCCGAGATTGGGTCTAGTTCACGTTCATCCAGGTGAAGTAATTATGTTTGTTAGTACCATTAGGACGGAATGACTTCAGCCTGTGCATCCAGAACTTTTCCTTGCCTTTTCTCTGAGCGTCTGTCCATCTTGGATTATGGTCAATATCCACTACTGTCATGTCCTCCCATTTGTGACCTTCAAGGTTGAAATGTTGAAATTTAGTGTTTGGTAGTTTAGTAGTAGTGCTAGTTGTTTCTCTATTTCCTTTGTTTTTATGACTTCTTAACTTTTTTCTTTGTCCTGAGGAAGGGACAGGTCGTCCCGAAAATTTGACAATTATTATTGTTCGTGTAGTTGGTCATTTTTAGTGCTTTATATAAATTTCCATCCGTGACCTTGTATCTACTTAGTAGATCCGACACTTAGGATATACAGTGTTGTTGGTTTTTAGTGCTTTATATATAAATATATATATATATATATATATATATATATATATATATATATATATATATATATATATATATATATATATATATATATACCGGTAATCCAAGATCTTTATTTAAGAGGGATGGAAGTACTTTTAGTTCTTAAACGATCGTTAAAATGTTTTTATATTAATCCTTTGATATCTTTTGATTATCTTTAACTCCATTCTAATAAATCGTGACAAAGATAACCTATATTATACTGACATAGCGACATTGCATTGTTCCGTAAACTAAAGGCGTCCGTGTAACAAATCGGAATAGAGAAAGTGGCTAAATAACTTAGGACATGTTGAATGTATTTTGGTGCCTGCTTTTTATTTCCTTTGCAGTTGGCATTATAGATTCAGTTCATTCCTCAGATATTCACACTGACATTGAAGCACTGAAAGCTGTGGTTGCTGAACAGTCTACATTGCTGAGATCGTTACAAGCAAGTGTTCAAGAACTTCAGGAGAAAAACAATTTTCTTGAAAATGCATATGTAAAAGAAAGTCATGAGCTTCAGTGGCTAAAAAAGACGTTACAAGAACAGAAACTATTATATGTGTCACAGCCAAACAACATTTCAAGGTAAAATGAGAATAAGAGCAATATTTTTGACAAGCTATGTTAAATGTTTAAAGGAAAATTATAAGAAGTTAAGATGCATGTTGTTTATAAATCATACCGGGAAATCACTAATTTTTAGTCTCATTGTTTTCGTGCTATGAATAGATATGAATTTATGTACTCCACGAAATGTTAAAATTTCACAGTTAAACATAAAGTGTGTCTTCCGACCACGAGTTTAAATAACATATGGACAATTTTCCCCTCAAAACACGAAAATTATGTTGATTCCATGAAAATAAGTGATTTTACAATGAAGGAATTTTTATGGATACATTTTGTCAGTGTAGCTATACAAACATTCTAGAAACGAAGAACTGAACATCAAAGACTCTAAAAATCATGAGGAGGAAACTATTGGAAGTTATCAATCTGTAACATTATCAACGCATGCCCAGCATGAGGAACTGCACGGTATGATTTTCTACAAGTTCCTAGAGCAATTTAATAAGCTTTGATATCTATTTTGTCGTCAATTTTGAATTTTCTGGGTGGAGATAAATGCAAAATTTACAACATGTTACATGTATTTATCATTTTAATTGTGCATTTACCTCCACAAAGTAAATTCAAAATTGGCATCAACTATCGATGGATATTTGATCAAACTTTGTCTCTTCTATGAGTCGATCTTTTGATAACTACTATATATGTTGTTTCAACGGGTATAAAAATAAAGAAATGTATTTCGTGTTAACTTCGGAAAAATCTGTACATGAGAAAGGAAAAATGAGCCGTGTGCTTGATTCGTTCCCTCTTACTCTTTCAGAGCATCTGAGAATCAGAGCAAGTCGACTGTTAACTGGGAGTCTTCAAGAAGGTATGGCTCTGTATGATACAATCACTGAATTTTTAATTGGACATGGGTTTGCCCTGAAACAAGCATTCACATGCATTTTGGGGTCGATAAAGCAAAATCACCCAGAACTGAACAATTTAGACAATAAGAAAGTAAATAGCCAGTTGCATCAGGTAATTTGATGTGACAATTGATAGACTCAGCAAAAGTATTCTCTGAGTGACCCAAACGACCGTCCTAGATTTTAGTTAAATTTATACCTTCCAGATCATGTAGCATTTACTGCATTTCATGGTGGAAGTAATGAGAAAATGAGCGTTGGACAGACAATTGCTCTCAGTGATATTAGACAAAATATCGGAGGAAGTCTGCATACAAACGGCATATTCGCAGCTAGGACGCCAGGGATTTACGTCTTTTTCTATTCTATAAACTGTGACAACCAGTCTCATTTATTTGTCGAGATCGTTAAAGACACCACTCAACTAGGAAGAACTTATTGCAGTGGGCATGGAGGGGATCACTGGGTTGTGTCTAGTTCTATGGCTACTGCTGTGCTTTCTCCAGGCGATACCGTATGGTTGAGGGTTTATAGTATAAGTGGAGATCAGGCTACAATCGGGGGTGATACATCTTTCACGGGATTTTTGCTTCGCCGATTTTAATCATAATTTCAATGCGAGTTCTGTATTTGATTATAAATATAATTCTTTGGATTCTGAACAATATACTCTTGTAAATTTAGTCAATTTGGGTGGGTGGGGAGTGGGGTAGCATTGATATTGTCATGGAGGTGCAGAGAAACATTAATTTTATGGAAACAATTTAAATTGATGATCATGTCATTCATTAATTTATTTAAATAAATTGACTTTGAATTGGTGGTTCATAATATTTTCTTCGAACATTTGCCACAATGCAAAAGTTTAATTTTATTCAAATTCTATATTCTTCGCTGACCAGGAATTTTAATCGAAAGGATATGTGCGCTAATTAAGTATCCACCCTTTGGCAGTTGTCTTCTGGTCATTCTGGTTTGATGTCCGATCAACCTGTACATATTTAGATTGACTGGAATAGAAAATTGATGTTGAATTTTCTATATTATTTTCCCTAAAAGTGTAGTAGATAATACGCTAAATTTAAAGTAACAAAAAAAAATGTTATATGTCGTCAGATTCGACCGTGTACCAGTATACCTTTCAAAGTAGAATAATAGCTGGAAGCTTCATATTATTTTCTTATTGATGATTAAATAAATTGTAATTTAGCACACTGCCAAATATAACGATTTTCTGCTCTTTAAAAAAGGAATCACCATTGTTCTAAAACATTGCCTCCTTGAAACAGAATTAACTTGATTAGAACATTAAAAGAAGTGTATGCTATATTCCACTCAATCAGAACGCATCGTGATTGGTAAAATACGATGACCGTATAAAGTGTATGTCGTTTTTACAATCTGTTCGAATCCTGGGATGCTTTGTATATATATACATGTTTTTTCCCAATGAAATAATGAAAATATAGTGAAATATCATTTTTTTTTTTATTAGAAAGAGGTTATCTCTGTATGAGGTTTTATGAGCAATATTTTAATTACATTTAAATTGTTACCCTCGTTACTGTGATCTCAAACTAATAATACATAATAATTTTGGATACTTTCATGACGGTTTAATGAAAAGAAATATATCATTTTCAATAAGCTGATTATGATATGCTTTTGTAATACTGTTAAGTGTTGGACGAGATCTGACTTGTGACGCATTTACATCCCTGCTATTCGTCCCTGCTACAACCAAATTAATTGAAATGATGTACTCGAAAGAATATCTTGGATGTAGTATCCACAATGTAGTTATGGGACACTATTTTTTAGAGAAATATATGCACGAGTTATCTACATCTTAAAAAAACATTGTTTAAGGTGCATACTGTATTGTTTGTTTGGTGTTGCTCCTCAAAATGACTTCCTTCTCGTCTACAATATGGAAGCATAGTTGCAGGTCTCTCCGAACGTTCGATATAAAAGAAATGTAAAATGTTAATAAGCTCATGCCCACTTTATCTATGAAGTAATTTGTTACTATATTTTGACATCACTCTTCATGTGCCGTCGGTATTAAAATGCCCTTCTAGATATAGGGAATAATCGCAAGTTTTTCTGCAACACTCTGTACTCTTAAACGGACTTTAATTAAATTGCAATGGTATTGCACACTTTTTGCTCTTCGCAGCTATGTTAGGCTTCCCGAAGCTTTAAAATGCGTTCAAAACATAATATTTCATTGCGAGGTCGGTTTTGGTTTTAATTTAGAAGTATTGTACTTAAGTACTTCCAATTTATACAGAGGCTTCCCTCGGCTTTATATTAACATGTTTGTTATGATTTCACATGACTTTGTTGATCACGTGACGGTCATTTATAATTTTTTAAAGTGCTTCACATAAATCGCTTCGGCACAGCTGATTAACACAATAATTATTAACATTTTGTTATATCAATAAACTCATCGTTTCTTTGGGTACCCGAAATGTGCTTGGGAAAAGTAATGGTATTACTTGGGTACAAAATATTTCCTGAGAAATTCAACTTACCTACAAATTTGAGGGTATTTACCACACAATATCGTAATCTGTATTAAAACAAAGCCATCACACATTTTTCCCAAGCAAGATTCAGTTAGAGAACAATCTCTTCTTACAGATTTCCACAAAAATTCTCAGATTAATCCTCATTAATCACCTGCGCCAGACTCTTTTATACACATATAATAAATTCTACCTCAAACCACGGGTATAAAACAGAGTACATTTCAAAAGTATATTTTTCGTAAACATTCTGAACATGCTATACAGTGATTCCTTATATTTCCATTTCATTGTGAAATAAAAATGTAAATTTAAATTTTAAAAATGTAGACTAATAGATTTAAATTACACGAGGCCTCCCATGTCAATTTCAATAGTCCCCGCCCACTGACGTCAAACACAAAGACAGCCGTACGAGAATTACATGCATATTAGGCCTCCTTAGAGTGAGACACAAAGACTGCTGCACGAGAATTACATGCATGTAAGGCCTTCTTAGCTCTGACCTTTCGCTTGGCGAAATTTACATTCCGGTAAAATGATCAAGAAATCAACTCAACTAACTTTCAAAGAGAAAACAAATAGAAATGGAAATATTCCCAAATTAACTTCTACATGAGAACGAGAAAACACTTGCTGTGGCCTTCCTATCGACGACGTTTATCAATTAACAAAAGTTACTTCCATATGTCGACTCCGAGTGAACTTGAAATATTTACATATCGCTGTGATATCTTGAAAGTTAAGTGTGTTGATTTCTCGATAATTACAATTGAATGCAAATGTCGCCAAGTTAAAGGTCAAGTGCCCACAATGCATGTCAATCTCGCTGTTGTCTTTGTGTCTGACGTCGGTGGGCTAGGGCTATTAAAATTAACATGGAATGACTCGTGTATTTTTTAATCTATTGGACAGCATCTTTTATTTATTTTGACATTTTTTATTTCACATATAAATGTAAATTTAAGGAATCACTGTCTAGTTTGTTGGGTATGCCAGGGCCATCAATGATTGCAACGACAGTTAGAAACGTGGGATAATCCCGAAATGCAAATAATCCCATTTTTTCAAGTATTGTTGATGCCCTGGCTATCCTACAAACTAGACATTGATTCCTTCAATATAAAGCACAATTGAACTTTAGCTATGAATTAATAGCAAAGATAAATAATATGGAATAATTCTAATTCGTGGGGCCAACATTCGTGGGCAACCAAAACTTGACTAGTTCGTGGGGATGTATTTTCGTTTTAATTCGCATTAACAAAAGAATCAATGAATCAATTCTATAACAGGAACTTAGCATCGTTTTAGAAAGGGGGTAGCCCGAGAAAAAAAAATCAACTTACATGTAGCTGAAAAAATTGACAAGCAAGAAAAAAAGAGGAAAATAGTCCAAACTCAAAAATCCTATATTTCGCAGTGATGATGGTGGGATGGGTGTTAGGTTCCAACTTCTATCAGACCCAACCACTACATTACCCTTATTTGACTATACTGCAACAAATAATGGGGCGGGGGCAACCGACCTTTTAATGAACATATCCAGTTATGTTTGGAAAAAAATGCCCCCCCCCCTCCCGGCCCCACTGATGCTACGTGCCTGAGTACAAAATTATAAGTTGTGTGGATGTTCTTTGGTAATGGTAACATAGGAAATCTACAGATTCAATCATTGCATTTGGTCCCCCACATACAGCAATGATTCTACAGTATTTATTACTAATTTTTTTAAAAGGAATATCAATGATTTTGCATGATAGTTATACATAAATATTTTAAAAATGTTGAAGATATGCTTTCAAACCCCTCTTCCGCCTGATACAAAATGCTCCAGCATGTTTTGGTTGTCACGTTCGAGCAACACCTGTAACGTATTCTAATTGGAACAAATAATCATTTGTATCTTTTAAATGCTTTTTATCCATCATGCGTTTTGTTTTTGTTGTTGACAACTTTATAAGTATATGACTACATTATCATGATTATTTAGTCAAAGTTAGACAATCTTTGTTAAAAATGCTAACATATAACGTTGCATTCGTATAAAATTCGTGATGTATTTGACGTTTCATGTGTAATTGATGAATAAGGAAGATGAAATATACAGAGATACATGTATATTTGTAACTTAATCATAAATAGAGTATCGTCGGGATAAAACAGACTTCCCTGTCTAAATCTGGAGTACCAATAATCTGTCATTATACACACAGGAATGATTGTGGTGTCCTTGCCAAATTTTGACAATTGCCCCTACTCCAGGGCACTCAAGATTTATTCTTGACTGCACTGGAAAGTTAAGAGCTCAAATTAAGCGTTCGACTTTCCTAAATAAGGTTTCACACTCAGACAGTTTTATCTCATTAGTTTGTTTATTTGCTTTAGCGTATTAGATATAACAGTGTAATTTACTTGCATTCCAGAGTATATAATAGGTAGAATGTTCAAATGCCATGGGAAATGCATCACATAATTTGGATGCCTCAAGTGGGATCCGCTCCTAAAACGGCAGAATAAACAAAACTTTAAAAAGGCCTTACAAAGTTAAGTGAACGCAATTGTCCAAATCCGGTGTTTATTAAGTAAACGTTCAGTACTTGTACATTTTTTGAATAGCGTTACAACACAACAAGCAGAGTCTACTTGGGTTTTATGTACAGTTTCTCGTGTCGTGATTTATCAAGCGAGTCACGCAGTTCAGGTAAACAAAAAGTTGACATCAACGGCCTCGAAATAGAACCACCGCGTTATTGTGATACGCTCCTGAAATTTCCACTTTACTTCCTGGACACCTCATTAATCGGGAAGGAGGAAAGATACAGAACTTAAACACAATCCCGCATCTTGCTTCCGGTGAGGAAGATGGGGAAGGAAGAAGAACTTCTAAAGACAGTTCACAACAACGACGAGAAAAAATTACAGGTAAGTCCTGGTGACCCGGAAGTGGCTTAATAGCGAGCTGTGTTGTTAATACCTCAACATAACATTTGTGTCCATTCAGTGTTATTTATATGAAAGTAGTGCTGAAGTCCATTTTTGAGCTTCTACAGTACATGGTGTTTATATTTTATTTTCTCTTTCACGCTTTGATGATTATCAAATATGACATACAAAATAATTCTACTCTCTTTATCTTATTTTAATTTGGTTTTAAATTAGTGTTTGTTTTTATGTTTAAACATAATATTATGTATTTTTTTTAATTATGTCTCTTAATTTAATTTATTCTACCTCAAACCATTTATTTTTTAGCATAATGTTTACCAAACTCTGGCGTCATTGTGAATTATGATAATTCGAAAAAATTGGAATGTAATTAAAAATCATTTATGCACACTTTTTAAAAGTACATCCTCCAAGTAAGGTAAACAAAAAAGGGATAAAATTGTGTAAAATAATGTCAGCATAATATAACAGTGTACCTCTTATATTTACAGTGCATGCAGGTGTTTATCAATTAAATTTAAAAGCGCCAAACTTAAGTTGAACTTAGAGTGTCAGTGTTACAAATCTTTTATCACATCGGAACTCTCCTATCACTACATGTAATTTGTGGCTATGATATATACTTACGATTTTACATGTATACGTTGCGCTTATTGAAACATAGGGATATGAGTAAAAAACAGTTAAAGATAATATACTATACATCATTTAAATAATAATGTATCGCGGAACTACATTAATGTGGCTAAATATCTTCATTTTTTTTCTTTACATTTTCTGCAGCAAAAATACCTTTTTAAAATCATTTATTCACACTTAGTTTTTTCCCTTCGAACTAAAATTGATATTTTTTTTACTGAAAGAAACTCTTGCTTCCGGAGAAAGAATTCCAGATTCGGAAGGTAGATGTGCCTACATCCGGCGCTCTAGGAGGGCGGATCCGGATGCAAGTGGTGCACGTGGATATCAACTGCAAGGAAAATGGCACGGGATACACGCCCTTAATCATTTCCGTCCTCAATGGTAATGTTGAGAAATTAATTTTATTGATGAAAATGACCTGTTCATGATTTATTTTTGATTGATTGATTGATTGTATGTCGTTTTACGTCGAACATTTTTCACTCATAAACCGGTTAAGGGCTTCAGATTTAGACATTTACTTGGCACTCAGGGCCATTGAGCAGTGAGGTTATCGCCCGCCGCGACATGGGGCCTCGGTTTTTAAGGTCTCATCCGAAAGACCCGCAACTTTCACGTCAAAGTTTCGAGAGCTTGGCAAAGGAACAGTTGCTACCTACTTTTAATCGACGTAGGTCAGTAGCTGCCGGGGTTTGAACCCCCGATCTTACGATCATGGAGTGAGCGCTTTCCTTTTTTTCGGAACTTTAATTTGTAAATATGCCAATTTTGATGATAAATTTTAGTGATTTCGAGATTACACTGAATGTAACTGATCTAGGTTCAAGTGAACTTTTCTGATCAATTGTCGTCCGAAAGATTTGTTCAAATGATCACCCATGTTGGGGCCACAATAAGGGATCAACGTTTTATACTGAGATATCTAGTGTAAAACTTATCAAAGACAACAGTGCTATGATTATTGGTATTGATGTACAAACATCCACAGGTAGTGCATGCCTATTCATTTTTTTAGCTCACCTGAGCTGAAAGCTCAAGTGAGCTTTTCTGATCACATTTTGTCTGTAGTCCATCTGTCCGTCTAGCTGTCTGTCCGTCCGTCTGTCTGTAAACTTTTCACATTTTCGACTTCTTCTCCAGAACCACTGGGTCAATTTCAACCAAACTTGCCACAAAGCATCCTTGGGTGAAGGGGATTCAAGTTTGATCAAATGAAGGGCCATGCCCTCATTCAAGGAGAGATAATTCAGAAATAGTGAAAATTTGGTGGCATATTTTAAAAATCTTCTTCTCAAGAACCACTGGACCAAAAAAGTTGAAACTTATAGGAAACCTTTATTACATAGTGTAGATTTAAATTTGTACAAATCATGACCCCTGGGGGTAGGGTGGAGCCACAATGGGGGTCAAAGTTTTACGTAGAAATATATAGGAAATTTTTTTTTAAAATCTTCTTCTCAAGAACAGCAATGTCATGATTAGTCATATTGATATGGAAGCATCCTCAGGTAGTATAGATTAAAGTTTGTTCAAATCATGACCCCCAGGGGAAGGGTGGGGTCACAATGGGGGATCAAAGTTTTACATAGAAATATAAAGGAAAAAATCTTTATAAATCTTCTTCTCAAGATCGGCATAGCCTTGTCCAGTCAAATTGATATGTAAGCATCCTTAGGTAGTGTCGATTCAAGTTTGTTCAAATCATGACGCCTGGGGTTAGGGTGGGGTCACAGTGGAGGATCAAAGTTTTACATAGAAATATATAGGATTTTTTTTTTTTAAATCTTCTTCTCAAGAACAGCAAAGCCTTGTTTAGTCATATTGATATGTAAGCATCCTCTGGTTAGTGTAGATTCCAGATTGTTCAAAACTGTTCAAATCATGATCCCTGGGGTAAGGGTGGGGCCACAATGGGGGATCAAAGTTTTATATAGGAATATATAGGGGGAAAAAAAATAAAAATCTTCTCAAGAACAGCAAAGCCATGTTTAGTCATATTGATATGGAAGCATTCTCCGGCATTGTAGATTCAAGTTTATTCAAATCATGACCCCTGGGGGTAGGGTGGGGCCACAATAAACACTCAAAATTTTACATAGAAATATATAGGAAACAAAAATTTAAAAATGTTCTTCTCAAGAACAGCAAAGCCATGTTTAGTCATATTGAAATGGAAGCATTTTCAGGTATTGTAGATTCAAGTTTGTTTAAATGATGACCTTCGGTGGTAGAAAGGGGCCACAATGAGGGATCAAAGTTTTACATAGAAATATATAGGAAAAAATCTTTTCCTCAAGAACAGAAAAGCCATGTTTAGTCGTATTGATATGGAAGCATCCTCAGGTAGTGTAGATTCAAATTGTTCAAATGATCGTCCCCGGAAGTAGTGAGGGGCCACAATGGGGTATCAAATTTTTATAATGGAATATAAAAGAAAAAGTATATAAAAACCTTCTGCTCAAGAACAGCAAAGCCATTTGTTATATATTGATATGGAAGCATCCTCAGGTAGTTTAGAATTCAGCCCCCCCCCCCTCCCATTTAAACTTTTCAATACTGAACTAATTTGTGCTTTTACCTAGCCAATGTGCTTAGGTGCGATGTGGCCTATGGGCCTCTTGTTTTTAAAATTGCGTTTCCTGCGGATATTGGTTGTGGCCAAAATAGCGGATCAACATTTTAAAGAATATATATATATATATATATATATATATATATATATATATATATATATATATATATATATATATATATATATATATATAAATTAAAATTCTGAAGAATACTAAATCAACACTAATTCAAATTCAGATGCAAAAATTTAGTAATTTTTTAAGCATATATCTTGAACATTTTTGGTCAGTATAATATTAAAACTAGTTCTTTTTTTTTTCTAATTCTAGGCAATAAAGAAATCATGGAAACATTGTTATTTTACTCAGCGAACGTCAATCTTGCCGATCAAAAAGGGTAAGTGTAGAATAATCTGTTGACTGTGCGACCGTTTGGGGAGCACAGTTGTTTATTTAATACTGGATACCTGTTCATTTTAACTTATATCCGCAACTTCAAACCGCACGAGACAAATGGAAGTCTAGACTTTGACGTCAAATAGCGTAGTATGTCAGATATATATACAACTAAAGTTTGTCATTGAGCGAGTTAGCAAAGCAAAATTCCAGTTCCTATAGCCTCGGAAAATAGTCCCTGCCTTGGGGAACTGGAATAAATGGTATACTTTTTTACTGTTTTATCATACCAATACAAATTTAAAGTAAAGTCTAGGGAATTATGGATAACCTGGAAATGGCTTTTGAAGCAGGATTAGCTCATTTGATGAATGCACGGCAAAACGGGGATTAGTCCATTCACAGCGATTTCTAGGGAATTATTCAAATCTAACGCTCTGACTTTTTACATGGAAAATCATATAGGTATAACAATAATAGTACTAGTAGTAGTAAGTCCATAATGAAGTCTGAAAAGTGCAATGTTTAATAACGAACATTTAATTTACTGTCAGTGAAATCCATTAAACACATGTTAAACGCAAGAACGAAATCTACGACGAGATCGATGCAATTTGCAAAGGATTGTGGGTCCAGATGTTACTGCCTGCGGAATGTGCCAGTCCGAATTTTCTCTTCGCCCAGGTGTTGCTCTAAATGCTTGTTGCGCTCGGTATGACACGATTAACAAAAGCTAAATTGTCATACATTTTCTTTTTCATTCGCTCAATCAGAGGGGCTCAAATAATTCTTACAAAATACAAAATTGATTTTCTTTCTCTAATGTTGAATAATGGTTTGTCTTATAGTGATGTTGTACGGATTCTGATTGTTGATAACTAAGGTGGAAAAAATCTCGATTCTCTGAATAAGAAAAAATTAATTTGTATGTTAAGCATTATCCATGCCCCATCATATTGTTAATGTTAAAATTTATTTACTGTTTTCTTTTTCAACAGGAATACGCCATTACATTTGGCTGCATTTATGGGAAGACTAGATATCGTGTATATATTGCTACGGAACTGTGCAAAGGTATATCGATTTCACAATATATATAAGCTCTTTGTAAATTTCTGAATTTTGTTGTTAGAAGTAAAAAAAAAAAAGCATATGAAGCAAAGAAAGCATTACAGTACATATTACAGTATCTAGTATTTGTGTATGGTTGTGGTAAATTGTGAATAGCGAGGAATAATCCATAATATTTTAAACAAAGATTTAGATTACGATATTCGAATTCTAGACTTTTTGGTTTGGTAAGTTGTTGAGAAATTGCTCATAACTTTAATTGCAAATTGCAAATTACAATAACTAAAAATTTACGGTACCACCGTTGGGGCGAGCTCAGTTGTGTATAATTTATTACTAACGTCTGGAATGTACTGGAACGTCTAGACTGTAACGTAACGAAGTCGTATGTAAGTTTATTTTCATTATCAAAGTCAAAAAACGCCATCATTCAACAAAGAGCGTCTAATCTAATATTTTTCTGCATTTTTTTAATGAAAGGCATTGCAGAGTAGATGCAATTATTTCTTGTCTCTTTTAAGCTCTCTGCAAGAATTTAATCTTCACAATAACAGGGGGACTGTTACATTCGCCATTATCGCATGAAATGCTGGTAGCGAATGAATTCTAGGAAGGTTTCATACAAAAAATATACAGATTTCAGTTAGAATTTTTTTCTGTTTTTACACATTAGTCTCTTAATTGAGCTTGCTGCGCTTCCTGTTAACTCCGATTTAAGGTCTTTACTCACTTTCTATGGGATTTGTTAGATATCATTTTCTGCACTTGAAAAGTGCAATAAATAAACTGAAATTTGTATCTTTTTTAATATATATATATATATATTTTTAGATTTTAATTATTTATTTATTTATTTATTTTTTTTTTTTTTTGGTAGGTAAATATACAGAACAGCGATGGAAACACGCCACTTCACGTGATCTGCCAAAGTCGAGCAGACGACAGCGTGCAGCTCGTGCACACGTTATTACGGGTACGTGCGTACCGGGAAGTGTCTGACCATTCCCCATGTGTACGATTCATGCAATCGTTTACTTCATACATTAACATGTGTATATATCACTCCAATCATTCCACCTGATATACGATACACAGTAATAACACTCTGTCTGAAGCAGATTTTTTTCGTAAGCTGTAGTTACAGCATGACAAACTTGTGCAGCCATCCTGATCACATGAACAATACTACATCGTTATTGTTTTTTAAACATTAGAGTTATAAATCGCTGGTATGATAGAGTAAAGATAGTGTAAACGTGATAAACATAATGAAATATCTTATTTCCTCAAATACGAGGGATTATTTTTTAGGTTCTAAAGCTTAAACTTTTAAATAAAAACCCAAACTTTTGTAATGTATTTTGTAACATTACATACATTTAAAAAGTTAAGCGTGACATTGATATTTTTATATGAATTTAAAATGTACCCGTGGCATGATATAAATAAAACAAAGAGAAAAGACAGGTCCATTTGTCCCAAAATCCTTGCAAAATTATATATATATATATACATATATATATATATATATATATATATATATATATATATATATATATATATATATATATATATATATATATATATATATATATATATATATATATATTAAAATGATACATATATTTGTTTTATCACATTCAAGGCAGGTGCTGATACCACGTTGGTGAACAAAAAGGGCGAACTTCCATTGGATGTCGCTGCCATGTATAATAGAAAAGGTCTAATAATTTTCAACATATGTCCTATCATTCATATTACAAAACTTGCAAAATTCTGATATTTTCTCCTAACTATATTGTAGACCTCGTGTCTTGTTTGATGGATAGTGATTCAGGGTTGAACGGGAACACGTCGGCCATTATTGAGGCCGCCATTAGAGGTCACACTGAGATTGTACAGCTGCTGCTAGATTTTGGGGTTAACCCCAACTGCATCAACTCGGATCGCAAAACGTGTGCTCTGCATGAAGCAACGAGGTTCTTAAGGTTTGTTGAATATGTATATTTTTAACAATTTAATACATATGTAAAGGTGAAGAAAAAGGTGAAGTGATCAAACTCGAAAATTTCGGCGACAATACAAATCTGTGAACAGGACATAAAACATTCAAGAGGTTGGATCAGATGCTTAGGGGGAGTATGCATCCCTGTAGACCGGTTACACCTGCCGTAAACTCTATATTATCAGAAGTGAAATGGTCTGTTAAACATCATTAATTTCGACAGGCCAAAGTTTTTTGTTTTGTTTTTTTCCAAAGTTATAGTTATGATGAGATTTGCATGATTTCAACCTCAGATCAAATAGAACACGAGGAAAATCAGATTATTTAAAATGCAGTTTGGTGACCTCCAATGCTCTAGCATGAATGCCAGGCTATTAATAGCCTTAACAATAAGTTCATTTATGGTAGATAGGCTTATAACTATGATGAGCAATTTTACAATATTTTTATTGAAATAATTCTATTCTAACACAATACTCCAATTCTTTTGGTCTGTACGTTTTCAATAAAACTGACCAAACAACCAGACTACACTACGACGCGTTGTTTTATGCATGCTGTTGCAAAATTTACTTTAATAAGATGCCTGTGAGATTCTTTTAAAAGGCTTCTCCTCCCTCAGATTTTGTTGATTTAACATTTTACTCAAGTAGACTACATTTAATAAGTAATTCTATTATCGGTTTTACATCAATGGAAGATGTTGCCAAGGTTACGATGATAGGAAACTCTTTGATATTCTTTCTAAATCTTACTTTGTAATTAAAATATTTTTAGTTGTTTTTAATCTCTTTTCTTGCTTAGTCTTACTTAGGCCTAAATCTACAACCTTTTGAAAAACGAGGCCCATGTGTTAAAATCAAGGAACAACTTTCTTCCTCCACTATTATACATGTAAAATTCAAAACAGTAGAGCTACAGTCTCATCAAAACTTTCTGCTTTGCTAGGCATCTTTCTTTTCGAGTCAAAAATCAATTGAGTGCTTCTAGAATAGAATTTTATTTTTAGAGTGAAAGTAGTCGAGGAGCTGCTAAAGTATGGGGCGGATCCGGAAAAGGAAAACGCCAAACAAGAGGTAAATATGTACTTATAAAAACTAACAATTTGAATTCTTTTATTTGATACATTAAATCCATTCCCCTTTTTTCTTTCATTTTTTATAATTTTTTTTTATTGTTTTTATTGTTTGTTTGGTTGTTTTTTTTTTTTCGACATTGCAGACTCCTTACAATATAGCATCACAGCTTCCTCCTAAAAAGTCAGAGGAATTCACAAAAATGTTTGATGGTTTGTCTGTTTAAATGATTACATTCCAGTCGTGTGATTATGTTTAATTTTGTAATGTAGAATTGTTAAAAGCTTTTTTAAAACATTTAAGTTTTCTGGGTAATCGTGGGTAAATAAATCACATTTCTGTAAATCTGAAAACCATTTATCTGTTCATATTGAAAAAGCAAAATTATCATACAAATGATGGCAGTTTATCACGCTGAGATATTATTTTGAGAAATGATACATCTTTCACTTACGTTGAATTCTAGAATACAAGACAAAAGGTCCTACGGAAATGCCCAAGTTCATGAAAGTTTCGTCCGCAAAAGCCCACATAGTTCTAAAAGGTAAATATGTAGACTTATGTAAAAAAAAATGTAAAACCTAAGCTTAGGAAAACGTATGCATAGGTTTATAGTCTTTTGTTTATGAAAATATTCACCACTCAGAAAGATAGAAGCAAATAGATATTTTCTTTTGTATACTTAGAGCAAAAGTATTATCCAGCATAGAATTTTGAACTTCAGAGGTCTAATCATTACTTTTTTGATTTTCTAAATGGATCAACAGTTGCCCTAAAATTGTTTCCTTCGAAATGAATGAACAGTTTGAGTCATTTGTATTTCTTTCGTCATTTGTGGGATGTTATTTTAACAATTTTGAATGGTCATGTTTTTTTTACAACAATCCCATATTAGAAACCGGAGCCACAGGTAATTTCTGCAGGATCTGTAAGCATATTACATTTGGCTGCATATTCTATTTAGTGCTTTTTGCAGAAGGCAGCTTCTGATAAATCAAGTACATAGTTAAAGGTCTTTTACGTACAATTTTTGATCTAGTGCATTCTGAAATTCACTAAATTAAATCTTTGCAAAGTTGTAGAAAAAATAAATTTCCTCAAAATATCAAACATTTGAAATATAATACATTTACAGTATGTGGAAATAAATCTTTTGAATGTTCCTTGTTAAAATTCTGATGGTTCTTCACTGGTATATAGTGACGTCTCTATGTGAGTGAAAAATTCTCGAACGGGACGTAAAACAACAATTAATCAATCAACCAATCAATCAATCAATCAGCCTATTTTGTAAACTATCCCTGGCTACTGCTTTTTAAATTATTTCTGTGTTTTGGAGTCTCTCCTTTTCAACTATTTTGTAGATGATCCATTTCTCCTGCTTTGTAGAGTATTCCTAGTATCTGTTTGAAAGACAAACCCAGTAAACTATCCTGTTTTGTAGACTATCCATTGCTCCTGTTTTGTAGATTATTCCTTGCTCCTGTTTGTAAACTATCCATTTCTTCTGTTTTGTAGACTTTTTCTTGCTCTTGTTTCGTAGACCATTCCTCCTTCCTGTTTTGTAAACTATCCCTTGCTCATGTTCGTAGACCATCCCTCGCTCCTGTTTTGTAGACTATCCCTTGCTCCTGTTTTTGTAGACAATCCATCGCATCTGTTTTGTAGATTATCCCTTGCTCCTGTTTTGTAGATTATCCCTTGCTCCTGTTTTGTAGACTATCCCTTGCTCCTATCTGTAGACTATGCCTTGCTCCTATTTGTAGACTATCCTTGCTTCTGTTTTGTAGATTATCCCTTGCTCCTGTTTTGTAGACTATCCCTTACTCTTGTTTGTTGACTATGCCTTGCTCTTGTTTTGTAGACTCTTCCTTGCTCCTGTTTTGTAGATTATCCCTTGCTCCTATTTGTAGACTCTTCCTTGCTCCTATCTGTAGACTATCCTTTGCTTCTGTTTTGTAGACCATTCCTCCCTCCTGTTTTGTAAACTATCCCTTGCCAATGTTCGTAGACGATCCCTTGCTCCTGTTTTATAGACTATCCTTTGCTCCTGTTTTTGTAGACTATCCTTTGCTCCTGTTTTTGTAGACAATCCATCGCATCTGTTTTGTAGATTATCCCTTGCTTCTGTTTTGTAGATTATCCCTTGCTCCTGTTTTGCAGACTATCCCTTACTCCTGTTTGTTGACTATGCCTTGTTCTTGTTTTGTAGACTCTTCCTTGCTCCTATCTGTAGACTATCCTTTGCTTCTGTTTTGTAGACTATTTCTTGCTCTTGGCGAGATTATCCCTTGCTCCTGTTTTTGGATTATCCATTGTTACTGTTTTGTAGAGTACGCCTTGCTCCTGTTTGTAGATAATTCATTGCTCCTGTATTTGTAGACCGTCCTTTGCTCCTGCTTTGTAGACTATCCATTGTTCTTGTTTTGAGGACTAATAGACTATCCCTTGTTCCTGTTTTATAGACGATACTTTGCCCTCATTTTGTGGACTATCCCTTCTTGCTTTTTTTGTAGACTACCCATCATTAGAGACAGATCCTTCCTGGACTAGGAACAGCCCTGATTTTTGTAATGAATGCACGGCAAACAGCCCAAATACAAATCTGTTAGATGGTAAGTTATATGTGTTGAACGTTTTGAACATCTGACATGATAGATATTTACAATATATTAATCATCAATAATAATAAGTATTGTAATATTTCATAAAGTATTAAGACACTTTCTGTTCTAATGAGTGTTTATTTATCCTTTGTTACTTGTTTTGATTGTAGGAAATCTCCGTACTTTTTGGGTGATTCCTGCAGTAACGGAGGCGTGGGCGGTGTTTGATTTTCACAGTATCTACACATTAACCGGCATCATTTTATACGGATGGTGAGTACTATTAATTACAAAGAGAAAACTTGATTGACTTTCAAACTTTAGTTTGACACGACTTATTCAATAAAACTTTTACTTTCCCAACAGTACTCGAAATGGTTATTTGACATGATAATCTTGTTGTACAAACACCTCTAATTAAACCATTTTCTTCAAAAGGTCAAGTCCACAGATGGTTAAAACATTTGAATTGCAAACAGCAGAAAGTGTTCTGTAAGTTCAATGAATAAGTGGAACAATGGAATAGATTACTTAATACAAATTGTATTTGATTGTAATTTTCATGAAATGGAATCAGGCATTGTTATTTACATTTCACTACTTACAGAGGGCCTTGGACTACAAATCATGTGTTTACATGTGCCTTAAAAGGCAGCCAGGATGCAAAAGACCCTGGTGAGATTTAAAAAAAAAATCCAATGTATTATTTCCTGACATTTCTGTAAATGTATTTTTTTTTAATATTCATTTAGATAAAATAAAAAGCTTGTTTTCTCTTTCTACAATTAACGTTAACAAATATTTATTTCAGGAGTTCCTCAGAAATTTACTGGTTTTACGTCTAAGTCACAATTCTGGAGAGTTAATATCATATCAAACTATGGGGGCCAGTGTACGTGTTTTCAGGCGGTGGAGTTTTGTGGCACAGACGATAGGATTATTGAATTTTTTGAGCATTTAAATTTACAGAAATACTCTGATGCAGTAATTAAGGCAGTAGGTTACTTAAAAAATACTTGTAAGATTAATGATATTATAACTGAAAGGAAAATTCTATTTCAGAATAGATGACATTATAACCTTAAGAAACTTAATTATCTATGTTTTTTTCTCTTACAATATTGTTATTTTTAGGGATATAATAACTACAGAAAATTTCTACTAATGGACGAGACAAAGTTACATGAAATGGTAAGAATAAATTATCTTACATTATTTTCATTTCTTTTATATTACTAGTATATGATCATTGTAATTTTCTCTATAAATATAAATAATAAAGACAACGCTTATAGCTTTTTAGTACATTTTAGGGTAAATATTCCTCTAGGTTTAATATTTATAAGAGTCTTATGTCCTGAATCATTTCAGATTGCCGATGAATCAGATATAGAGAAAGTCATACAGGAAATAAAGAAATGCAGGAGAAAAGGTCATTATTATGAATCAAAATATTATTTAAGAAGTTTAACGACGACATTGTCTTGAGTTATTCAACTTAATGCCTGTTAAGATATTTTTTGTATTGAGGAAAATTGTATTTTACAGAATTTGTATTAAAAACTTTAAAATGGGAGAAAGCACCTGTTCTTTGCGCTGATGTTGGCGAGATTCTTCCTGATATTGTTGTAAAGGGGGATGTTGCTTGCACAGAGTCTGTAGAATTTTATTTTCAAGGTGAGATCACAAATTGTAGCACTTTTCGATATGATTATTGTTGTACATTAAACGATTTTTGTCTGGTTGTAGATAATTAGTGACTTGTTTTTCTATGAATGATCTTTAAGTTGTCCATTTGTTGAATTTACACATATATTTTTTTTTAATTTCACTTCACAAAATTACTTGAAAAAAGAAGGTTGTTTGGCCTTTTCAAAAAACTTAAAACGGAAGTTCTGAAATACTCCATTTTTTTATCAATTATCTAATAGAAAAAAAATAAAAATACAGTACATTTGACTTTTTAGGTCACCTGAGGGACTCAGGTGACCTATTGCTATCCGTTTTTGTCCGTCGTCGTCCGTCGTGCGTTAACATTTAAACATTTTCAGCTTCTTCTCTGAAACCGCTCAACCAATTTCAACCAATTTTGGCATATAGCATCTATGGGTAAAGGGGGACAAAAATTGTGAATTTCATGGTCCCTGCCCCCCCTGGGGCTTGAGGGGTGGGGCTAAAACCACCAAAATTAATGCAATCTTTAAAAATCTTCTTCTTTACTCCTGGACATCAAGCAGTCTAACTGTTGGTATGATTGTAATAAGCATTGAGCCCTCTACCATAATTGTGAAATTCATGGCCCCAGGATCAGGGGTTCTGGTGCTACAGTGGGGCTATATAGATCATATAGTGAAAGTGCATAATTTCTTTGAAAATCTTCTTCCTTGCTCCTGGGTATTAGATAAACTAACTAAGTACATAGTTATGCAGAGCAAGACTGCTTCTTCCAAAATTGTGAATTTCATGGACCCTGGGTCAGGGGTTCTGGTGTAAGGGAGGGGCTCTATTGATTATATAATGGAAATACATTGATTCTTTGAAAATCTTCTTCTCTGCTCCTGGGTATTAAACAAAGTAACTAAGTACATAGTTATGATGAGCAAAAGTGCCTCTTCCAAAATTGTGAATTTCATGGCTCAGGGGTTCTGGTGTTAGGGTGGGGCTCTATTGATTATATAGTGAAAATGCATTAAATCTTTGAAAATCTTCTCCTCTACACCTGGGTATGAAATAAAGTAACAAGTATATAGTTATAATGAGCTTGGCTGCCTCTTCCAAAATTGTGAATTTCATGGCCCCTGGGTCAGGGGTTCTGGTGAAGGGGGGGGGGGGCTCTATTGATTATAAAGTGAAAATTCATAATTTCTTTCAAAATATTTTTTCTACTCCTGGTTATAAAGCAAAGAAACACGTGTATAGTTATGATAAGCAAGGATGCTTTTACAAAATTTTTAAAACTTTTTGTCCCAGGGGTTCTGTTGTTTCTCTGAAGGGGGGGGGGGGGGGGACTCTATTTGATAATATAGTGAAAATGTGTGAATTCTTTGAAAATCTTCAACTAATTGCATAGTTCTGATGATGAGAATACCTCTTCCAAATTTGTAAGTTTTCAACATCTTGACCATTTATTCAAGTGTTCTGGTCCTGGCCAGGGCTCTATTTATTTGTATTCTATTGAATGAACTTATTCCCCTTTGACATTCACTTTTGATAATTAATCTCTGTAGATAATGTATTTGAAAGGTTAATAGAATAAAGAGAATTATGCAAGAACATTTATTGTATAATATAAAAAGTACTTTCATAGTTTTAATAATCAGGTATACTTGGAAATAATAGATGAATAAAAATCAGACAAAAATAACTTATCTTCTTAAATGTTCTTCAAAGGCCAAGTGAGGCCAATGTGAGAGGTAATAATATAGACATTTTGTTAAAGTCTGCATGGTAATAGTGATAAATGGGGGACAGATAGAAAGATACTAGACCAATTATTTTGTTGATCTTAATCGTACTAATTTTCTTGCTATTGGGCAACAATTAAAGCTTCATTTATCAGTTTATGGATCCTCTAAATTGTTGTACTCAGGTGACCGTTAAGGCCCTTGGGCCTCTTGTTTAGACCTCAACTTTGTAAAGGTACATATTGTGTTCTGTACATATTGTCGCCGGCTTCTAACTTCCTTCCTTTACTGTACATATTGTCGTTCATCGGTGCATATCACCTGCGACGATATGTCCCTAGACAAGGCTATTTTCCTCCTGCAAAATGGACGACAAAATGTATAGTCACACATCGGTACATATTGTCCGTCGGCGACAATATGTACTGTGAACATATGCCCATTTCGTCGCCATATACTGTTGTATATAATATCTACTGGGAGAAAGAAAGAAAGAAAGAAACAGATGATCGTACATTTTGGTCGTGGTTTTCGACGATGGTTCCTTTAGAAGTCACATGCTATATATTCTTTTTAAGTGCCTCTTCAATCATATTGTAAAACTGTTTACAACTTTTAGTGCACTGGTTTTCAGTGAGCCTAAAATGATGAAACTTCTTTTGTATAAATAGCTGGTTTGATTGAAGTTTCAGAGAGAGAGAGAGAGATTCCTATTATGTTATTTGGATATTTCATGTTTTTCGCTCTGTTCTCCTCTTCAAAGTATTACATGTACACATGTATTTTAAATATACTACAGCTATTTCACTGGATTTCGAAATAAAATGTCAAATAAGCGATCTCATGAAAATTTATTGTATAATTTAATTTCAATATCATTATCCTCATCCATCTAACAGTGGATCGCCATTAAGTACAGAAAGGGTAGACACATATTGTCGCCAGCGACAATATTCGTTTGAGAACTCTCTGAGTGTGCCACATCAAAACAAAGACAAACTTAAGATAAAATAGTGACTGATGATACAAAGAGTTTTATTTCTTAGCAACACCATTTATCATTTTTTCAAAACGGCTGTAACGTGATCATTTGATTCCATTTGACAATAGAAATCCATTATAAACACACCATGTGACTCCGTGTTCTGGGGTATGTTGATGTGCTAGAGTTTTGTTAAGTAATTTATTAAGCATATGTCCTTTACATATCTCTCAGAGATGACATCTTTTAAGTTATAAACCATTAAACAATTCGACAACAATACGGCAAACAATGCATATTGCTTTGAGGTATTTAGGTTATAAATTGGCTACATGTGTATTTACATATTGACCGAGATGATGCATGTGTTTAAATACATTTAGACAAAATACTAGAATGTTTTGTGGATATGTGAGATTCACATAAACCTAATTAGACATGAGAGCTAAATATATATTATTTAATTTCCTAAACTGAGGATTGTTCAACACAAAATCACAACATATTTACATACTTTTTATTTAATTAAATTGTTACATTGTGTCAAAAGGTGTCAAACCAAACTGTCAGGGAAAAACGAAAGTGCAACTTTGTTCCAATGGTACTTCGTCACCCACATATTCTACAGCTGTGTTTAAAAACATATCATTTAATTCAGGTACGATTTTAGCTCATTTTACTTAAAAATATGAATTTTAAATCTTGATAAGTCAGATATTATTTGATTCCTACATATATTTTAGTTGGATCGTATGAATTTTGTGTTCGAGGTGTAGAACATCCCGAGGTATACATATCTTGTCCACACTTCATAGATATTAGTAAGTTCTTTAATTTTTTTAAAAAATTTCTGTTAATTTTTTTTCCTTGTGTGTATGTGTATGTGTTTTGTTTGTTTTGTTTTGTTTTTTCTTTTTTGTTTTGTTTTTGTTTTGTTTTTTTAAGTTTAAGGAATTAATTTCTAAAATGTGCTGTTTTCCTACAAGTCAAATAATTTTGAAACCTTGATTTCTGTAGACAATGAACACTAAATGATATATTTCCATTTATGGATGTTAAAATGTGTATAATTCTGCTTAGAAAATTAAGTAATGGGAATGGATATATTTCAGAGCCTAAAAATAAATTATCAAAAGAAGTTGAGAGATCATTCAGAGATATTGAAGATATGCTGGAAGGCCTTCAGGACTTATGACATCTTTTATGAACTGAAAAGGTGCCTGTGTATCGTTGTGAAAATAACATTGAATAAAACTGTGATATTGAATAAAAGTATGATAACACTTGTATCAATAAAATAAGCTTACATGTTTACTACAGAGTAAAATTTTCTGCATTCTCAACAGAAACTATTTTTATCAATATGTTTAATATCGTTATTGTAGATCAGCGTCATATAATTGTCGGAACGGCACCCTGTCGTTTCTTTAAGATACACTTAGATTTTTAAAATGTATTATTAACTAAATTCAGTACTTCCATTATTCTTCTTATTATTATTATTTTCATTTTCATCCTGGAGGTCAAATGAGTATCGAAAAACGGCGCTATTTTTGAAACCTGGTTCCAAGAATTCCTCATACGTTTTACACAGGAGTAATCTTATCCTTTGCAAGATGATTGGGATGTGTTCTTAGATGTGGTTTTGGAATTTTCATTTTCACCCGGGAGGCCACATGGTGTCGAAAAAACGTTTAAACATTTTTCATTTTACAAAAACATGGTTCCCAGAACTCTTTTTTAAGCAGTAGCCATTTCGTCTTTTGCAACAGGATTGGAGTGGTACTGCAGATGTGTAACAAGCAAATTCAAAGAACTGCGGTCCCCTGCTTTCGGTGTCTTAAAAAAAACCTTATTGCACGTCTACAGAGGACACCACCAATAATCAAGTAAAAATGGTTTGGCTACACCGTAAAATGTAAGAAGAATTTTAGGAACTAGGTTCTGGAAGGGAAAAACATCGTTTTCAAGTTTCATTTAGCCCCCAGGATGAAAATAAAAAATCTGAAACCTTATTGCACATCTTCGGGACACCATTTATCATATTCCAAAAGATGAATTAGTGTCTTAGTGGATGGGATGGGATGCTATTATTTATTTATGGCATATTGTAATTGTCTTGTTTGTGTGCCCTGTCTTGTTTGTGTATGATATAAAAATGACATAAATTATTGAATTAATAACAGTTATGGCAAAGATATGTCAAATGGCAAATGTAAATGCCATGTCTTCTCTCAATCAAAAGTTTCATGTATCAGCAATGTTAAAATATTTTAAAATAAGGTCAAACTTGAAGGTCAAGGTCACAGGGTCAAACATCATAGCAGATTCGGACATTTGACGCAGGTAATGCAATTGTCAAATATGAACGCCCTATCATATGTCATTCAAAAGTAATCACCCAAGTTAAATTTTTTGAAAATTAGGTCAAACATGAAGGTCAAAGGTTAAAAAATCATAAGATGCTCGGAAACATCTTGTCACAGAAAATGCACATGTCAAATATGAAAGCCCTTTCTTTTCACAATCAAAATGTATAAACAAAGATATTTTTTAAAAGTAGGTCAAACTTCAAGGTCAAGGACACGATGTCAAAAAAACCATAGTATATTTTAAAGGTCTTGTCACAGGTAATGTACATATTTAATATAAAAGCCCTATCTTTTCTTATTAGAAAGTTATGAGCAATTTAAAGTAATGCTAAATTTCTTGGAAAAAAGGTACAGCTTTAAGGTCAAGGGCTCAAAAATCATGGTACATTTGAGAAGATCTTGTCACAGGTAATGCACATGTTAGATATATAAAAGCCCTATCTTTTCTTCAATCAAGAGTTATACTAGTAAGCAAAGCTAACATTTTTGAAATGTAGGTCAAGGTCAAGGGGTCAAAAATCATAGTATATTTGAAAAGTTTTTTCACGAGTAATATACATGCTTAATATAAAAGCCCTATCTCATCAAAAGTTAAGACAAATTTAAAGTAATGTTAAAAATTTCAGAAGTAGGTCATACTTCAAGGTCAAGATCACGGGGTCAGAAATCATAGTATATTTGGAAATGTCTTGTCACAGGTAACGTACATATGAAATATGAAAGCCCTATCTCTTCTCCTTCAAAAGTTAAGACCAAGGTTAATGTTTTTGTGACAGACTGACAGACAGACTGACAGACGAATAAGTTTTAATGTCCCCTTGCTTTCACGAAAGCGGGGGAGGGTAATATTTCCGAATTTTCATTTCCACCCTGGGGCTAAATGGGGGTAAAAAAATGACGTCCCAGTTAGGGCCGATTTGTTTTTCATTACAGGAAAACGTTTTTCTGAATAACCTTTTAAAATCAGAATTTACTTTGATCATTACGATCTTCAATCTAAGGTGATGGATTTTTTATTTAAAATAGTAACATTAAAGACCCATGATCATATGCTCACTTATGCTTTTTATGTTCAGTTTGATACATGTAAATTATAAAATTACTGATGCGGCTTTTTCACTAACCAGGTACATTAGAGGCAAACGTCTTGTGACAGCATCTAGTTTATAATTTTACTCTAGTATCAGATTCGTTTTTCTCTCATTTTTCGGTCACCTGATTCATTCGTGCGTAAGCATTTGAACATTTCAGCTTCTCTCTTGGAACCGCTGAACCTATTTCAACCAATTTTGGTATATACCATCTATGAACAAAACTATGAATTTCATGGTCTACCCCCCCCCCCCCCCCCCCCACCCCCCATGGCTGACTGGTGTAGCCAAAACAATCGAAAGTAGATGCTGTCATAAGACCGTAATACCCAAACGAAAGTGTTTCCCTCTAAACTAAATGTACCTAGCTCTCTAGAAGCCACAACAGATATTCTTTAATATACATAACTATGCATGGCTGTAGGACCCGGGGGAGGGCCGATATATAGATTACTAGAGCTACTATATGCTTGTGCCCCCCTCAATAAAAACGTATGATGACCTTTTTTTTTTTTTTTTTTTTTTTTTTTTTTGCTTGTCAAGGAATTTTTGGTTGATAGTGCCCTCTCAACTGAAAATGTATGGCTGTGCCCGCCCCCCCCCCCCCCAACTGAAATTGCTTCCTACGGGCCTGCTATGTATGCATGTATCAAATTGGGCATAAAATGCACAGGTGAAATATGATCATTGGCCTCTTATATTAGTATTTCAAATAATAAATTCAGTCGCCCGCATGGCGCAGTGGAGTAAGGAGTTGATCCTTACGTGGCCCGTTCGAATCCCACTGTGGGACATGGAGACCGGTCCTTCGGATGAGGCCGTATAAACCGAGGTCCCGTGTCGCAGTAGGTGCTGGCACGAAAAAGATCCCTCACTGCTCAATGACCCTGAGTGCCGAGTATAGGTCAAAATTTTGAAGCCCTCCACAGGCAAGTGATGGCGTCTCTATATGAATGAATAATTCTCGAGAGGGACGTTAAACAACAAACAAACAAACAAATAATGCATAAAGATCGTTATGAAGTAACTTCTGAATTTAAAAGAGAGAATATCAGAAAAATGATTTTTTTTTTTTTTTTTTTATTTTATTTTTTTTATTTTTTGGTTAAAAAAAGTGGAAAAGAAAACAATTTGGCTCAGAAAACTACGTTTTTGACCCAAATTTGCCCCTAAGGGTGAACATTAAAGTTCCGAAACCCTATTGCACATCTACAGGATACCACCAATCATCGTCCAAAAGATGATTATACTATTGCGTTAAATGTAAGAGGAGTTTTAGGAATCAGCTATTTGTAGAAAAAAGTCTTTTATTGACCCCGATTTGGCCCCTGGATAAAATTGAAAATTCCAAAACCCTTTTTGCTTATCTACAATATACCACCTATCGTATTCCAAAAGATTAATTGGTTCCTGCTTAAAATAAAAGAGGAATTTGAAGAAGAAGAAATTGTGAGTCTCTATTGAAAATTGAGTGAAAATGCATTGAGAACATTTTCTTTTCTCTTTTGATAAATAAATAGACAAACAAAGTTCAGAGTGCCTCTTCCAAAATTGTGAAAATCATGGCCCCTCGGTCTGGGATTGTTGAGTTAGGACGGGGCTCTTTTTATCATTTAGTGAAAATGCATTCTTTGAAAATCTACTCTGCTCTTGAGTATTTAGCAAAGAAAGTTAGTACATGGTTTTGATAATCAATGGTGTCTCCTCCAAAGAAAGGATGCTTTTTGATTTTGATTTGTCAGGAATCTGGGCGAACTTGAAAAGTAGAAATTTCATTGTTGCGACATATGATAATTTAGAGTTTTATTGATGAATATTGGGTTCTTATGATGTAGGAAAGGGAAATATTTTCTCGATATTGTGTTTTGATTTGCTAAAATAGGCCGTAAAATGGCACGATGAGTCAATTTTTACAAAATATTACATTTTCACGCATTTTAGGCCATCGGAGTCTTTCAGGGGAAACTATTGCTATCTGTTTTCGTCCGTCGCCGTGCGACGTCCGTCGGTCGTAAACATTTAAACATTTTCAGCTTCTTCTCATAAAGCGCTTAACCAATTTCAACAAAATTTGATGTAAAGCATCTATGAGCAAAGGGGACATAAATGAGAATTTCATGGTCCCTGCCATCCCCTTCCTTGGCCTGGGATTGCTTCAAAAGCGTCAAAATAAATGCAATTTTCAAACAAAAATCTTCTTTACATGGACATTAAGTAGTCAAAATGTTGGCGTGATCATAATGTACAATGCGATTTTTACTAGCATTGTCAAATATATGGCCCCTGGTCTTTGGTTTTAGATATATAAGCAGAATCAGACCACTGTTTTGATCTCCGCCCTGGTATCAATCCTCCGATGGACTCGGCCCAAGCTCCCTCCACCCCACCCCGGACTAGGGCCGAAACCAACAGCTCGAATTGAAACCAGTGTGATAGGGTGTCTATATCTATAAAGTCACCTGATTGTATCAGGTTATCTGAAATAATAGATGCTTTTTAACTAGTATAAAGTTGTAAACACATTAATTGTCCTGGGTTCACTGGGTTCCATGGTCGGGTACGTTGTCCCGAAAGATTGTTTATTCCTCTGGTATCGGCTGAGAATTTGTCTATTACTCAGTATATGGCGATGTACTCTACAAGACAATTTATTATATGATTGAATGAATCCCATCTCTCTGATAGGCTGAGATCCAACAATGTTAGAAAAATACTACGTTATATTAACCTGCACGTGACCTTCCAGGTCAATATAGGGAATTATTTATTCTACATTGGACTAAAAATAGATAGGGAAATTCCAAATTGATTCAAATAGTTTTGGAAACATATTTCACTTGCACCTGAATTCTACTCATATGAACATAACATTAAAGCACATCGATTCTTTCTTGGGTGAGGGTTGGGTGGGGGGGGGGGGAGGAGGCGTGTCTGGGTGGGTTGCAGGAGGCCTGCCCTTCTCCCTACCTTTTGAGAATGTGAAGTTTTACTTTAAATTTTAAGGATAAAAAATTTCAATGAAAGCCCTCTCCCCTCTTTTATGGACCTTTACATCCCACCAAATAAGATTTTGAGTTGGGAGATTTCTTTTCCTTTGGGGGGGGGGGGGGAGGGGGCTAGTCAAAGATTTGTTTTCAGGTAAGTTGTCTTTTTTCCCTTTTAATGCCCCTTTTTTCAAAATCAGTCATACATATATGCCTGATATTCATTTTTTCTACTTTGCACCTAAACTAGAATTAGAAATTCCAAAATAATACAGCTCATTATGTTCGGCTAGTACTTCAGTAGATGTGAACAAGTAAGGTGGCATGGATTGCTTAATGAGTGCGTGTCATTTAATCATTGAATCATATAATAAATTATATTAACCTGCACGTGACCTTCCAGGTCAATATAGGGAATTATTTATTCTACATTGGACTAAAAATAGATAGGGAAATTCCAAATTGATTCAAATAGTTTTGGAAACATATTTCACTTGCACCTGAATTCTACTCATATGAACATAACATTAAAGCACATCGATTCTTTCTTGGGTGAGGGTTGGGTGGGGGGGGGGGGGAGGAGGCGTGTCTGGGTGGGTTGCAGGAGGCCTGCCCTTCTCCCTACCTTTTGAGAATGTGAAGTTTTACTTTAAATTTTAAGGATAAAAAATTTCAATGAAAGCCCTCTCCCCTCTTTTATGGACCTTTACATCCCACCAAATAAGATTTTGAGTTGGGAGATTTCTTTTCCTTTGGGGGGGGGGGGGGGGGGGGGGGGAGGGGGCTAGTCAAAGATTTGTTTTCAGGTAAGTTGTCTTTTTTCCCTTTTAATGCCCCTTTTTTCAAAATCAGTCATACATATATGCCTGATATTCATTTTTTCTACTTTGCACCTAAACTAGAATTAGAAATTCCAAAATAATACAGCTCATTATGTTCGGCTAGTACTTCAGTAGATGTGAACAAGTAAGGTGGCATGGATTGCTTAATGAGTGCGTGTCATTTAATCATTGAATCATATAATAAAACAATTATTGCTGTTTTTTCGATCAATACTATGATTTAGTCACCGTCGAAGTACAATATTCACCTCGTCCTTCGGGCCCGGTGAATATTGTACTCCTCAGGTGTCTAAATCATCGCATTGACCTCAAAAACCAGCAATAATTGTATAATATATAGTCTATATAAAACTACTCTATAACAATGAAATTATTTTTGAAAAGGAACTTAACTACTAAGACTCAAAGCGTTAATAAATAAAACACAATTTTTTCAACCAGACCTGCATGCACTGCATTATTTCAACTTTGTCGATCCAAAATAAATTATTGAGCTTGACAACGTATTTTAAAGAAAAAAACAGGAATTCCATTATTACATTCCATGTCTTTTTAGATAAATCCTCATACTATCACCGTGTTTACAAACTGTGACTCCATGAGTCACAGTTTATACATATATGGTGTTACGATTAGGACATACCTAAACAGATGGCAGAATCTCTCCTGAGGCTTATTTGTTCTAGTAAGATGGTTAAAACAATTGACGATTTAATGCAGTTTACATCTGCAACAGCCTCCTCTGTACGCTTGTCATTGTCACCTTTTTGGTAATTCACAACGATTTTTTCGATCTTATTCAGGGCGAGTGTCGTTACAATCTGATTAAAATACAGATCTCTTCATAGCGCAAAGTGCGCTTTGCGCTATGAAGAGATCTGTATTTTAATCAGATTGGTGTCGTTATAAACATGCTTTTTTCAAAAAGACTTTTAGTCCGCCTTAGAACATTATTGATGGATATGATGGAGTTAAGTTGAACTGAACTTATTATTACACTAAATTATTATTCTATGGTAACGTTCCTCGATATTTGGTGCTAATAGTTATTTTCAACCTTTTCCTCAATAAAATATTATTCTCTTCCTGAGTTATATTCACAGTCAGTATACTGAACATCTTATGAGAATTGCTTTACAAAACAATAATTTTGACGTGCATTGTTAATTTTATCAAAAACAGAATTCAAAACTTTGCAAATGCCTGACGTATAAATTGCTGAGTGCTACATTATGGAAAAATAACGAAGAGTGATGGATCTCAAAAATCATTTTAACAAAACAAATTTAAAACAGTACGGATTTGAGTACAGCGTATAAAACAGGACCCCTTGGAAATCAAGAGATAAGAAAATGTGCATTAGATGACTAATTTTTGTTTTCTGTTGACCGGTCACACCCACCGTGAGCCCTTTGTATTGATAAGGTAGAAGGAATAATCTGTAATAATAATTAAGAGTGAAATTAATAATCTAACATTGTGTATGACAAATGTCAGTCAAAATACAACCAGGTGATAGGTTGTGTTTGCAAAGAAACTACCACAGAATTTTCAAAATGCCGAATTTAAACTTTTTTTTTAAATTCCTGTAACAGCAACTTATTCTAACACAATAACTCAATGTGTTTGGATTAAGAAGATTAAGAAGACTTTTGTAAGTTTATAGTTTTATTATAAAGTCAAGGCAAAGGCAAAAACAATGGTACATAAAAAAGTTCAATGGCTGCAGGTCTCGGAGCCAAGATGGTGAAAAGCTATTGATACTCAGTGTGCACATCTTTTGTACGAAAAGCTGAATATAGAGATCACATATTTTGAAATAACAATCAGTAAGTTACACTGTCACTTCATTAATATTGATACAGTACGCCCCTCACTGAAGCTACAGTGTATGTCTCATCTCCTTATAGGATACGGCAATGGCCTCTGTTTACATTAACATTGTGTAAGTTGCACATTCTTCCGTTAATTAGATGGTAGCAGCTTTGTACAAAGTCTGATTGGAAGTGTCAATGTTCCAGAACAACACATCGTTAAAACTAATTGTCCGTCAAATGAAGACGCTCTCTTATTGTATCCAATCTCCCAGAGTTTGTAAACAAGTTCATATTTAAGAGGTTATTGTCCGTCGCTCTACACACTGATAGTATCAATTATAATTCATAATATATTTATACATAAATAAATGCACTGTACAAATTAATATATCAATTAAAATTATAATTTGTACGCTCATTGTGTTACATTATGTCTCAGTGGTCTGTCTCGGAAATATAATATATTACTTATGTACCTATAAGACCAGTAAAGATCTAAAACTATAAGTAAAATCATTTATTAATGAAAATGAGATTATCTTAATAGTTTTCTTGGAATTATCAAATGTAGAAATTAAAATTACTTTTTAAATGTCGAGATTATATATAGATATAATGATGATGTTTTTACAAATATTTTGCTTAGCTTTGTGGGGATAGATATTTATTTCAGACTTAACAAACCGCATAAAGCCAGAAAAAAAATAATACTCAACTGTGTGTACAAGTAATTTGTACTTGTATCAACACCACGTTGTCAGATCTATTCACATGTATAATTTTAAACATAAATTATGCATAAAAATTTAAATAGCAAATTGCTACTGATCTATGTATTAATTAAAACACCACGTATATAGACTTTTAAGATAAAATTATACATGTATGATAGTTTGTAAAGAGAGAAAGGCAACATATTAAGGTGTTTGCTAAACTTTACGGTTTTAGCCTATTATACAATTTTCAATAACTATTGAAACTTTTTATGCATGAATGAACATTTTTAAAGATTTGTGAATAGTTTGTTTTCTGAGTAGGCTTTATTAAACAATTTCCTGGCTTCTCTGTACTTCATTGTCTCTCTTCTTGAGGCACACTTTATAAGGGGTGGCGACGTGTACCCCTTTATATGTTCCCTCTAGGGATGGGAGGGGAGTATCTGCCTCGTTTTCAATATCAAAGTTCTGCACTAGGCTAGTGATGAAAAGGAACATTTCCATTTCTGCTAATCGTTGACCTAAGCAATTTCTTGGTCCTGGAAAAAAGGTTATGATTGATTGATTTCCATGTTATATATATATATATATATATATATAATTCTCAAAATCCACAACAATAATCTTAATCATATTTATAAAATAGTGTTGTGTTTTGCATACACTATGCGTAAATAGTAGTCAGGATTTGACACATGGTTCACGAGCCGGAGGCGAGTGCAATATGTGTCAAACCCTGACTACTATTTTTAGGCATAGTACATGCAAAACACAACACTATTGTTATTATTATGCTGACTGTTGTATGAAAACGACAACTTAAATAAATTTCCGTGTGCAGAGGTATAATCTTATTGACAAATTTTATTTATGTTCCTTAACTAAGCTTTATGCGATTAAGAGTTTTCAATATTCCCTGGACTCAGTTTGTGTATTGATGTCTTAACTCTAATATAATGATAAGTACAAAATTTGTTTGAATATTTTTTTTCCCATTTCCACAACTTCATAGCCCCTTACGGTGATTCTTGTATGGGTCTCAAACATATTAGTACACTCCTAATATGAAGTCACGTTGTGCTACATGTACGTCATATTTTTTTTTTTTTTAAATGTTTCATGCAGTTAGGTATAATGTACAGATAGTTTCAAAGAATTTTATTTAAGTAAAAAAGTTACAAGGACTTTTTTAGAAAAAAAAATTGCTATTTTTTTCTTTAAGTATGAACATGTATGAAACTACGTTTATATACATTATAATAAAATGCATGATAACGTCGTCTGTGGGTAATCGGTCGCGTGTCGGACTGACAATCTTGGGGTCGTAATTTCGATTCCCGGCGTGGGCGCAGTCGGATTTCCTTCAGAAAAAGAAGCCGTGCACTATTACGGCATAGTATGCATGCGCTATATAAATCCTTAGAATATTATGCGAAAATAGTTGGGTATTGATTATATAGAGACAAACTGACAGGAAGCATAATAATATGCAATATTTCCATTTTCTAATTGTTTTCTCTGTGATAACTCTTTGAAAGTTAGGAGAGTTGATTTCTTGATCATTCGACCGGAATGTTAATTTCGCCAGGTGAAAAGTCAGGAGCCTTATATGCATGTCAATATCGTTCGGCTGTGTTTGTGTCTGACGTCAGTGGGCGAAGACTCTTGAAATTAACACGTGAGGCCTCGTGTATTTTAAATTCATTAGACAGAATTTTTAAATTTATATTAACCATTTTATTCCACATAGAAATGTAAATATAAGGAATCACTGTCTAGTTTAGTGGGTATGCCAGGGACATCAACGATAGTTGGAAACTTTGGATAATTTATGCTTAACGGGCTTCTCTAACAAAAAATACTATAGTTAACTATAGTTTACTATAGTTAACAATAGTGATAACTTGATAGTATGAAAACTATAGTTAACTATAGTGATAACTTTGACACTTTGACTTACTATAGTTTTAACTTTGAAAACTTTGATTTACTATAGTGATCACTATGACACTATAGTGATCACTATGAAAATTTTAATTTACTATGGTGAAAACTTTGATTTACTATAGTGATAACTTTGAAAACTTTGATTTACTATAGTGGTAACTATGACACTATAGTGATCATTTTGAAAACTTTGATTTACTATAGTGATCACTATGACACTATAGTGATCACTTTGAAAACTTTGATTTACTATAGTTGTAACTATGACACTATAGTGATCACTTTGAAAACTTTGATTTACTGTAGTGATAACTTTGACACTTTGATTTACTATAGTTAACTATAGTAAATTATAATTAACTATATAGTATTTTTTTGTTAGGGTTCGCCCGTTATGCACTTCATCCCACGTTTCCAACTATCGTTGATGTCTTGGCATACCCAACAAACTAGACAGTGATTCCTTAAATCATCCTCAAGTAGCACAGATTTATCGGTAAGTATGTTCAAATTGTGGCCCATGCAAGGAAAGTGGAGCTATACTATGGGATCAACGTATTGTTTTTGAATATAGAAGAGAAAAAATATTATATAAAAACTTCTCAAGATAAGCATGGTCAATATGACTCAGGTGAGCATTGTGCTGCGGGAGCCTCTTCTGCTTTTTGAGTTAAATCAAAATAAAAATAGTGATAATATTCTTCCCCATATATGAGGTTGACCAAAAATTCCGTAAACTGAGCTCATATCTTTTACAGAAATTTATACATCTTCTGAAAATTTTCTGGGTGGATAAATTGTGTTGATAATTGGCTGACAAAATACGAAGTTTTAACATGATTAATTCAAAACAATCTGAGTAATAAGAATTGTGGTGTTTTCGTTCCCAAAACCCGGAACATTATCCGAAGTCCAAAAAAACAAAAAAAAAAAAAAAAAAAAAAAAAAGTTACCGGTTCAGATTTTGGGGGAAAATACACTAATTACCAGATTTAATTTTTTTTTAATTTTTTCATAAAAGTTAAAGATATAAATGTGAAATATCTTGATCATTGTAATACAATTTAAGATTAAAATAAATGGCACCTTGTCATGTGCACCAAACATTTATGACATGCGTTTCTGAAGGAGTGAATTCAAGATCAGAACATTTGATCACAGTCTAGAGCGTCATGTGTGTCAACGCAGCTGCTATTTTTCAAAAAAAAATTCAAAACGGTGGATATTAAACGTTATTAAATTCATATTTATTAAAGCATATGCACGAAAATATAAGGAAAGGTAATTAACGTTGCAATGTCAAAAAATTTTAATGTCTTTAATTTCTATATCCGAATTTCTGAGTAGTAACTACTTTTTAATAAGATTTTAAATATTATATCTTAAATATTATACCTATTTTTAATTCCAATATTTTGGGTTGCTTTTTACACCAGACAATGAAATATTTTATTTAAAAAGAGTTATTGTCGGTTCAATCTATAAAGTTTCATTAATTTATGACACCTAGTTCCTATAAACCTACATTTGTCTACGGAAATTGGGGACAACCCTCGTCCGTATCTATATAGATGATACAAAATATATATAACAAACCTAATGAAAAGGAAGTGTTGACTTTCTCAAAACCAAATACTTGACCATCTTCGTTAATGAAGCGATCGGGGTTAAATGTTTCTGGTTCTTTAAAGATAGATGGATCCATGTTGACACTACATAGGGCCAGCAGCAAGTAGGCGTCTTTTGGTAAAGTGTAGCCATTTATCGTTATATCAGATGTCAGAGCATGAATTGGGGCAGCATAGATGACTGACGCTGTTCGGAGAACCTCGTACATCACCGCTAGACAGAAAGGAAGACGTGGTTTATCTTCCATGGTAAGAGGGCGAGCGTTTTCGACGTTTTCTTCAATTTCTCTCTGCATGCGAGAGACGACTTCAGGATAATGCATCAGGTATAAAATTGACCATTGGAGTGTGTGAGCAGAACCGACTCCACCAAAGAGAAGGCCGTATCCCATTAAAAGTAAATCTCGGTCTGTAAGGAACATTCCGTATGTTGGACATTTATTTGAACTTTTGAATACATCAATTAAATATAAAATGAGCAATTATAAAAACCTTATCATGAGAGAATTGATCAAAGTTGGTTGTAAATTAAAATGGAAATCAGATTCCTTTGAATAAAATGTTCAGATAACAAACAGTAATCATGCTCAAAGTCCAGTTAAACGATACAAATTGTGACCAGAGCAAACATAAAAATCTATAAAAACGTAAGAGTGAGCAACCCCTGTCGACTGGTTTTACCCCCTGTGTTTTGTCATAATGGGGTTAACGGAGAGATCAGTAGTCAACACAGTATGTAAATAATGGGCAATTTGTATGAAGGACGTTAGACAACATTCGACCTAACGACAGATTATATTTGCACACAATGTCATTGTATCAGCCTTATAAATTGCTATATATTAACTTCAAAAGGGATTGTAGATACCCTTGTATCATTAACCTACTTGTCATTAGCCTGCTTCGTTTAAGATATTGGTTGTAAGAAGAATAAATTTCTGCATATCGAATCGACTGAGATACACAATCCCCATATACAAACGAAAATTGTATATTGCTACATAAATAACGGGAAGTCACGACGGAAAAGTTTAAATCATCACGTTAATCATACAAACGTTTAGTTATTAGTTTGCCATCAATGTCTTCTACGCAAATGTTCCCACAACAAGAATTTTCAGGGGTCCGTGTTTAATGCCCTGTTCACAGACTTGTATTAATTGTTTTTTAGGGTTTTTTTTAGATCAATCACTGTTTGTTATCTTCAACTATTTCATTCTAGTAAAACATTCATATATATTTACATTCCAAATATTTTCCTTAAGATTCCTTGCAAATTAGAAGACTGTTCATTTTCTCATGAACTACCATGGATGAGCATGAATATCTCCATTGTTACGTCAGAATACCGTACTTGACGTCAAAACTATAGTGCAATTAAGAAATGAATTTAATTTTTGAAGATTCATGAAGACATGAACTACGACGCTTCACGCCGGCATATGTCATGAAGCGCGTTAGCGCATCATGATAAATATGCCGGCGTGAAGCGTTGTAGTTCATGAACCTCATGAATTTTCAAAAATTAAATTCATTTCTTATATTTACATTTTTTTTGTGATGAGTTTGCACAGGTTACGCCATTCAACTGTCATTTTTTAAGCAAAACAGTTTGCACGATAGTTTTGACGTCAAGTACGGTATTATGAGAAAATGAACAATCCTCTAATTTGCAAAGAATCTTAGGGAAAAATTCTGGGAAATGTAAATAATTATACTGTTTTGCTTTAAAAATGACAGTTGAATGGTGAAATTTGTAGTAACTCATCAGAAAAGAATGTAAATATAAAAAATTAATCTTATTTTTGAAAACGCGCTTCATGAAATATGCCGGCGTGAAGCGTCGTAGTTCATGTCCTCATTAATCCTCAAAAATTAAATTCATTTCTTAAATGAACCTTGTATCAGACTCTGTGATGTCTTTTATTTCAAGTTCATTGTGAGATATGGAATCAACGTAGGACTGAAAATTGATAATGTTAATTGAAAGCTGTCCTTAACTTTGGTAAAGCACGGTTGACATATCTTGAAAAATGGCTTCCGCAAGAAAATCCTTATTTATTTAGATATGTTAAATAAGATACAAAGCATTAAAAGAGTATTTCTGTTAACAGAAGTTTCATGAATTTTCATCAAAACATATCGAATGCACTCTTCCGAAGAGATGACGATGATTACTATACGCTTTTTGCACCGAATAAAAAATTTATGTTCAAATGGAATTTATTTTATATGATGTTCTGTAGAAGCTTATATATTGATTTTATCCTTATTATCCTTTTTTATAACTGCACTGTCAACATCTTAGAAAAAACAATTGAATTTATATTTTTAGATAATGTTCTGTCTAATCTTACATATTTTTTTTTATTATTCTCGCTATTGACCTAAAAAATCAGCAATTCGCAAGTTCTGTGGTTGTCATAATGCTCTTGTTAGCAAATATAATCTATCACTGAGTCGTAGTTTGACCGACATATTGCAAACCAATTGTTTTGCTTTTGTTTTTATACTAAACTAGATGAAATCCCGCGCAAGCGTGGGGAATTGAATTTATACCAATACCGACAGAAAATATATTGTAGTTTCTACTGACAGCCTACAGGCTTATACATGTAGCAGGAAAAAATACGTTGTTCAAAATCCCGCATGAAGTAGATTAACCTATCCACACCCCACACACCCCCTTTTTACTACGGAATAATTCGTCTACCTTATCAATACATAGGGCTAACGGCGGGTGTGACCGATCGACAAGGGATAATTATTCCTTTTAGGCATCTGATCCCGCCTCTGCAATTTCCAGAGGTCCGTGTTTTATGCCGAAGTTTTATTTTTTATTTATAATCATATTATCTTTTGCAGAAAGAAAACATGTCTTTGTGTGCTTTTTGGGGGGAAACTTGTATAAAAATCGTGACCCATATAAGAGTGTTTAGTGTAAATCAAACAGGAAATACCTTTGAAACCAGATAGATCCTCATTATGTCGCCTCCTCCGTTCTTGCTCTTTAACAAAACTGTATATAAAGTCTGTAGAATCCGGTTTTTCGGGTATTTTCTTGTGCTCATCCACAGCCCTCTGCATGATGTTTAGAATCCCGTCGAGAACATATCGCTGGCGTCTTGCTTTATACTTATCCCCAGGAAGATGTCTAAGCCACGCCAAGAAAGTCAGAGGCGCTTGATCAGGAGTGTTAAATATTGCCTCGTTAATCAACTCTATGAGGCTTTGCAGTGTAGCATCTCCATTTTCGAATCTTTTCCCGAAAATAAGAGATGAGGCGATGTTGTAATGGTAAGTTTTTACCAATTCATCAACCTTGAAAGCCTGGCCTCCAACATTTTCTGCGTTTGTTATAAAGTTTGAGACTTCAACGACTACACGTGATTCTAGATTGAAGCTTCCTGAATCTATGCTTTTCAACGTATCGATTGCGAATTTCCTTTGCATACGCCAAACTTCTCCAAATGCACCAAGTATACCTAGTAGAAAATACAAACTAGGGGTGTATTATGATTTATATGCAGTTTACAACAAAAGCACATACAGATCCATCATTTATGTAAATACTTATTTCAGAGACATACGTTTTATGATTTGACGATTGTGCTTTGTTTTGAATGGAAGATATTCAAAAATCTCAAAACTCAAAATTTTATAATTTGCAAGTTTTGGATATAGAACACCTTCGAAAATATAATATTTGAAAAAAAAAAAGTCTATGGACCTCAATGGACGCCCGAGTATAATACAACAACTTAGTTGTTTCAAAGAAGTATAAAATAAACTAATAGATGAAGCTTTGTTGCACAAAAGCAAGATAAATAGGATGATCAGGGTCACGAAAGAAATCGACTTAGTCTAGTACTCAGTAACAACTCATAAAGTAAGTTCTATTTGCCCTATTTATCACTATCACCATGCAGACTATTTACAAAACAATAGTGATTCAGCACTATTTTTAACCATATATTTTAGCCTATCACATTGACTTCTCTTGGTCTTTGAAGAACATTTAATAATATAAGCTATTTGTGTCTCATTTTTATTTATCTATTAATTACAAGACTACCTGATCATTTAAACCATGACAGAACTTTTTGTATTATACAATAAAAATTCTTGCATTATTCTCTTATTCTATTAACCTTTTAATACATAATTCACAGAGATTAATTTATTTATCAGCGATAACTGAAAAAGAAGAATAATTTCTCTCAGTAGAATACAAATTAAAAGAGCCTTGGTCAGCACCAGAATACTTGACCAAATGGTTCAGAATTTCAACGACAAGTCTTTGTCGAGACTGTAGCTCTAACGGTTTGTTCTTATATAAAAGGAAGAGAAAAGTAGCACTTGGACTTGAAACTTTGCAACAGCAATAAATAAAATAATTCTGTGTCTTTTTGTGGCAAGATTGCAATCAGACTAAAATGGTAGGAGGCGTAGCCTTTAAAAAAAAATTACAGAAATTTCTATTTTAGTTACAATGCCAACATCATTCATCAGAATCAAAAAACGATAAAGACAATTACCAAACCTGTAGGAGGAGTAGCGTTTTGAAAGTATTTCACAGAAATTTCTATTTTTAGTGACCATTGCGACACCGTTCATCAAGATAAAAAAAAACGATAAACAGAATTATGTATTCCAGTGTAGTCTACTTGTGTGCCAAGTTATTTTGAAATCAGACCAAAACTGTAGGAGGAGTAGCGTTTTGAAAGTATTTCACAGAAAGTACGTTATGTACCAAAATCGGCCCTGTCCCTAAAACTGATGAAGATTTTTTTTTTTTAAACATGTCTAAGATGTCCTCTTTTTAATTCAGCTTAATTTTTGCAATTATCTCAAATCAGTTTTCCTACAAAGCTATCTGAATATACAACAATTGTAGATAGTTTCTTTGAAAACACTATGACGTTATGACGTCAACCTAGCGAAGCTACGCAAATACGAGGGTTGTTGGAAAGTTCGTTATATAAATTTCAAGAAATATCTAAAAAGTACACATTTTCTTATATAAAAATATTTATTTTGTTGAAGTGTGAAGTTTCATTCCATTAGATTTAACAGAAATCAGTTTACCTAATTTTAAAATCAACATGTTTGGTAACCCCGGAGCTACATTATAACGTCAAAAAACACTGCGTCATGGTGTTTAAAAAAAAAAAAAATAACCCTTTACATTTCGGTCCAATAGCCACTTATTAAAACCGTTTCTCAATTTTAATTTATTTATGAGAACTTAAAAACCGAGGCCCCATGTCACGATAGGTTCAAACTTTTTTTCACAATTTTTTTTCGCAACCAATTTTCCCGCAATATACTAAATTCCTAAACTTTCCCTATGCTACTGCAAAAAAATAAAAGGGGGGGGGCTTTCAATGAACATTTTCAAAGTTTGGAAAAAAAGTGGGAAGGGGCCCTGCTCCCCTGATTCTTCGTGCCTGATAAATAACTTGTTTTCAGACTTGTCCACACCGACAGATAATTTTGTTCCACAGTATACTAATATTAAATTGTGTGATACACATACACCACCGTAATGGGGTGAAAGAATTTAGTGACAGGTAACCTTGCTGAAAAGTGAATCCGATAAACTTTTTTTGTCCGAAATTCTTTTTTTGGGCCTCTCTGTAGCTTTCTCATTCCAGTTTTCTTTTAACTTCACTGGAAGCTCGACAGATTAGAAATTACAACTCTTGTATATGTGGAATGATATTACGTAGAATATACGGGTAAAAAATAAGTTTTACTAGGTGAAATATGAGCCTTTGTTTTTATATGCATAATTTTAACGGCAATGTCTACAATATAAACTTATGCAGATGCGACAGGCTTACATTGTGCGTGGAATTATAAAATCTGAAAATATATTGAAACATCCATCGTGCACTTGTATAAATGACTGAAAGTACAAGACTTCAGTATATTAATTAATCTGATCAGTCCTGACCAAGGGCATCCAAAAGATTGAGAATTTACCCCCCCCCCTTTTTTTTCTCCAAAAAATGTGTTGCAAGGGGACCTATTGTGACGTCATCTTTGAGTTTATTGCGTAATTTATTTACATACATGCAGACGTCAACTATAGGCCGTTTCAGTAGCAAAATAAAATAAAGGCTAGGATTTAAGCATTTTCTTTTCTGCAATAATACTTTTAGTGATTTCATTTGTCAGCTGAACATTTTCATTTTATTGCTTTAATGTATCAAATTGATCTCTTCCCTTCTTGCTGTCAAAATTTATCAAGTGTAAGGCTTATTTGTATAAAATAATATCGCAATTTGTCATTTCTGTAAAACATTTTTTAGTTTTTATGCTATTTTTATGACAAATATATTTGTATGAGCAATATAAATATGGTCAATAAATGAAAAAAAGTATTTTTAACATTATTACACGAAATACACAATCATTATTACTTCTAGATAAGAATTCGCCTCTCGACTGTCTCGTTATCCGCCACCGGAAATAGTCTTGAAATATCAAAATTAACATATTGCACATTCCTCTTACCATTATATTTGCTTGTCTTTCATCAAATTATTTTCAAAAATATATGTTTTATTTTGCTCGAGGGGTATGCACTACTTCAATTTTGGGAATTTGTTGTAAAAATAGTGGAAAAAATAGCAATTTCCGGAAAGAACAGATGTTTAAATCCTGTGAATACCTATAATAAACAGGATTGCGAAATTTTGTTATGCATCTATCAAAACTACCAATCTTCTTCTACATGGGCATAGTAGTTATATTTTTGAAAACGTGTATATCAAAATACGAAAAATTGTGGGCCTTCGAATAATACGTAACGTACTTAGTTCTTTCTGTTTTAGTAACCATGACAACACAAATGGAATTATGTATCTTAGTGTAGTCAACTTGTGTTTTGAGGTATATTGAAATCAGACCGAAACTGTAGGAGGGGTAGCGTTTTGAAAAACTTTACAGACATACAGACAGCTAGACAGACAGACACCTTACTTTCGCATAAGCCCTTCTGGTCTCTGACCAGTTGAGCTAAAAATCTGGTAAAAATATCTATGCTTATGAAAACTTTTACTGTTTGCCTCCGATCGAGATGCCTAGATGCAGAGAAGGTTTTCAAAGAAATAATGCCTTTCACTATAGATTCAACACAGCCCCACCTTAACACCTAGGGGCACGAAATTTGCTCATCATAGCTATGCACGTAGTTAACGATTTTCAAAGATTTGAAAAAATTAACACATTTTCATTTCATTATCAATAGAGCCACCCCCTTTTCAAACACCAAAACCCCTGACCCTGGGATCACAAGATTTAAAAATTTTGTAATTAACACCATTACTCATCAAAAGTAAGCACCTTATTTATCTGCTAAATACCCAGGAGCGGACAAAATTAGTTGATAGAATTGATGCATTTTACTGCATTACCGATAGAGCCACACCCTCACACCAGAACATCTGACCCAATGGCCACGAAACACCAGAACCCAAGACCCGAGATTATGAAATTCACAAATTCGGAAGAGGTGTCCGCACTCATCAGAATTATGCACTTAGTTTAGATTTCAAAGAATTGAAGAATTAACTGATTTTTACCATATTATCAATAAAGCAACACCCTCCCCAACACCAGAACCCCTGAACAAGGGGCCATGAAATTCACACTTTTGGAAGAGCGCCATTGCTCATCATTACCATGCATTTTCTTTACATAATACCCTGGAGCAGATAAGATTTTTCAAAGGATTTATGTATTTCCACTACATAAAAAATAAAGCCACGTTCTAACACCAGAACCCCTGACCCTGGGACCATGAAATACACAATTTTTCAAAGAGGCATCTTGCTCATCATAACTATGTACTTTGTAAGTTTGTTTAATACCCAGGGGCAAAGAGAAGATTTTCAAAGAAATAATGTATCTATATAGCCCAGCCCTAGCACCAGAACCTCTGACCCTGAGGCCATGAAATTCATAATTGTGGTACAGGGCGCAATACTTATTACATTTATGTCAACAAATTGCTTGTTTGTCCAGGAGTAAAGAAGAAGATTTTTAAAAATTTCATTAATTTTTATGGTTTTAGCCCACACCTCAGGTCCCATGGGGGCAGGGACCATGAAATTCATAGTTTTTGTTCCCCTTCATCCGTAGATGATATTTACCTAAATTGGTTGAAATTGATCCAGCTGTTTCAGAGATGAAGCTGAAAATGTTCAAATATTAACGCACGACGAACTACGACAGAAAAAAACGGATAGCAATAAGTCATTAGAGTGACTCAGGTGACCTAAAAAGACACGGAATAATGGGGTCAGTTCATTTATTTTTTATTGCTGGGGAGAAAAGCGACATCAAACCTACAGACCTGATCTTTCGAAATATTCTTGATTCTGATAGACATCTGCATGTTCAAAACTATGTTCGCCATTCTTCTCCAGAACCTCGTGTAATGTTTGATACCCACATACAATGATGAGTTTCTGTCCAAAGACTTTTAATGTGATCAAATCACCATGTTTATGCCATAAATTCCTAAAAAAAAAAAAGACCTTTGTCTTCTTTATTGAGCTAAAGCAGCATTGAAAACTCAATCTTCAATTCTAATGTCGAAGAAAAAGAAAGTAAAAAGTTTTTAGACTAAATAAAAGCAATATCTATTATTCGTGGGATCTTACAGAATGACTGGAGCCTCTGATTTAAAACCAACATTTCCTATTAAGGGATACCCTGGTTCTCGAGGTGGCAGATTGTTCTGGCATTTGCTACACATGTCTGAAAAACATAATGAGTCGATGAATCATTTTGGAAGATTCAAACAGAACAATGTTCAGATAATCTAAGTTGTACTTTATTAAACGTTTTGGTTATCTAAATCATACTTTATTATTACTAACAACTTCATATAAGACAGTTCAAAATATTTTGCTGAAAGCTTTTTGTGTTTTATAATCCCACAAATGTAATAAAAATGGCAGCATGTGTTGGCCATGTAAAACAGGCAATGCATGTTTAGTGTATGTTCAAAATATGCAAAACATATGTACATTTAAAAGAATGCTTACTCTACTTTCAAACATATGCTGGTCATAAATCATATACTACATATTGAACAATTGAGCAATCGTGCGAGGCACCAGTAAAAACATAAAAAAATCCTGTCCTCTAAATTAAAAAAATCCAAACATCAAATCACAAAATATTGAGTTTTCTGTTTATTCCATTTCCTATGGTATTTTTCTTTCGGCCTTACGTGTATCACCTATTGGCCGTCTTTTCTTAATACATTGAACTCATAGTTAAACGATTTGAGATTTCATATTATATAGACAAGGTTTTTAACAACAGTTTGGAAAACTATGCCAGTTTTAGGCAGTGTCAGGGTGTTTTTTTTTTCACTCTCGCTATCCACAATGAGTTTTTTTAACACTTGTCATTTAGGGGAGACATTATTTCCGCAAGAGTTATCAATGAGAATATTACTTATGATGTTTTAACAGTGAAAAAATAAAACCTCTTTGAAATTGTCAATCGATCATTAAATTGTATTATTAGCAACTTTATAAAAAATATTATTTTTAAATGCATAACATGTAATTCATGAACTGCACAAGGGACACTTCCATTAATTTTTTAAATTGACTACTTCATACAACATTATTGAGAGATTTTATTTGCTTGTCTATTTTTTATTTGTTTGTCTATATATAAGAAAAGATCCAGGAGTAGATCAACTTGACTGTAGGACTAAAGGTAACAATCCTTAGTTGTAATGTATAAAGGTGACGATCGTTTGTTGTAATGTATAAAGGTGACAATCCTTTGTTGTAATGTATAAAGGTGACAATCCTTTGTTGTAATGTATAAAGGTGACAATCCTTTGTATAATGTATAAAGGAGACAATCCTTAGTTGTAATGTATAAAGGTGACAATCCTTTGCTGTAATGTATAAAGGTGACAATCCTTTGTTGTAATGTATAAAGGTGACAATCCTTAGTTGTAATGTATAAAGGTGACAATCCTTTGTTGTAATGTATAAAGGTGACGATCCTTAGTTGTAATGTATAAAGGTGACAATCCTTTGTTGTAATGTATAAAGGTGACAATCCTTAGTTGTAATGTATAAAGGTGACGATCCTTAGTTGTAATGTATAAAGGTGACAATCCTTAGTTGTAATGTATAAAGGTGACAATCCTTTGTTGTAATGTATAAAGGTGACGATCCTTAGTTGTAATGTATAAAGGTGACAATCCTTTGTTGTAATGTATAAAGGTGACAATCCTTTGTTGTAATGTATAAAGGTGACAATCCTTAGTTGTAATGTATAAAGGTGACGATCCTTAGTTGTAATGCATAAAGGTGCTTTAACACGGGCTTTACTACTTTGTAAGTGTACGATTCATTTGCTATGATTTGGAGCTCGCTTTCTGCGACAATCACATTTATATTTTTTCTTTATCGATTAAAGGACTTCAATAATGAATAACTAAACATATCTATGATTGTTAAGGTATTGCTCTTAAAAGATGTTAGATCACAGGGGTCCTAGGACGCATTTTAACCTACTTCAGAAAAAAATATTGCTTTTTTGGTTGTTTCTTTTTCTTTCTTTTTTTCTATTTTTTCTTTCTTTCTTTTTTTTTTTTTTGTTTTTTTTTTTTTTTTTTGTTTTCTGTTTGTTTTTTTTTTTACACTCGATTAATTTAAATATCTTCAACGACTTACCATGTATAACAAGCTTATACTTATGCTTATATGAAATAGTTATAAGCCGAAAACTGCCTATCATGGCAAATGTCAGACGGTCCTATACGCGTCAGTACCAAGGGGAGTCTAATATCTGACCTAATGGTCAGGTTGAGGCTTATTGCGTGGACCCTGAGGTCCACGCAGAAAATATATAAGCGGGGTTAAACCAGATGCCATGGGCTTACGTCAGGCTACGCATGCGCGAGAATGCTAGAGTTTGCCCCGAAGACAACTTGCTTTTAGAATAATTCGCCCTTTTCGAATTAGAATATGCCAATCATTGGCAAACCTCGCTCTAAAATCTGCACATCGTATTTATATATTCTTTGGCGTAACCAAGTTCCGAATTTCTCTTTTATACATATATCCTAATATATATAAACTAAATTCTATGGTACAAGCATTTTAAATAAGTAGGGAGAACTTATATAGATAGCTTAGCAGCTTGAACATGTTGAATTAAAAACTTATTTCAACTACTAGCTTTTAAAAGATAGTCTTTACTATGTTCACCGGCATTAGTTCTGTGCATCAAGGTTCGCAAAATAATTTGATAGAAAGCAGTCCAAATGTAGCTTGATACAGGTCTGTAACTACGTTTTTCCATGTGGGGGAGAGGGAGAAACATAATAAAAAAAATTCTGCGTACTACAGATCTGTGCTACACGTGTACCATCTAACTTTCCAATGATAGAATCTTCCGTATAAAACTAGTACAGAAGTCAAGTCCCAGCCGTTACGGGTTAACAATTTTGCTATGAAAGTACTATCACTGAAAGTAGACAGATCATTGTAGAAAATGTTATCGAAAGGTTAACCTGTGCCACCTTTCAGAGTAACCAATGAACCCGTCCATGGATGCGTTGACGATCGTTGTAACAAGAATAGATTTATATGGGTTACCCCATATCCAAGATATTCGACTTTTAATTTACTCGAATTTTCACTAGTAAAAAACTGCACATGCTATGAAACTGGTATATAGCTCTTCATGTCTGTAGCGAATACTGTCACCAGTCTAAGCATCCTAGCAAACAGTGCACACACCTGTGATTTCAAGACCAAATAGCCTCTGTCTACACACATGCGAGCCCGGAAAAACACACTGTTTTGCCGAGAAGTTACGATTGCAGGTGTTGTATATTAACCATTCCGTTATTTAAAAAGAGAGAGAGGGAAGAAAAAACACACACACACAATTAATCTTTTTTTGTGTGTTTAAATTGATCAAGTTAATCGATAACTTAGCATCGCTTTAGATAACTCGAGCCCCTTTAGTGCTTGAGTACAGGGTCGGATCCAGCAGTTTTTGAAAAGGGGAGGGGGGTTCTAGGTCACACCGCAGACACTTAAATTCAAGCCTGCAGCAACGGTTTTCAAAGGAGGCAACCTCTAAAAAGAGTTGACAAGCAAAAAAAAAATAAATTAAATAAAAATAACAACCTGTGTACCACACTGTATAAATCCTACTATTTCAAGGGGGGGGGGGGGGGGGGGAGAGGGGGCTTCGTCTAACTTTTCGGTACATTTTGATTTCTTTTAAAGAATTGATTTTCCGTATTTTGAATCTTCCCGCAACAAAAAGTGCGGGGGAGCTTCCAATGCAAATCAAAACTTATATATTAAAATTATAACAAAAGATTATTTTTTAAAGGAAAAGTGAGCCCCCTCCCCCACATACTACGGGGACATTTTGAACCCTTCTCTTCATTGATTGAAATATCCCCATAATATAAGGAGAGAAATATTCTCTTACGCATACACCCTTTCATGACTTTTTATGCATTCTTCTTAAAGTTAGTTACTTCAGAAGATGGTCATAAAAATGGCATAGCCGTACGTTCGTCAGAATCTTCCGATGATATCAAAGTGAAATTTTTCATGTTACGTGTGGGTGGTCGAGGCCCAGGGTCGCGGGGTTGTGAAGGTACACGGAGGAAAGCAATATGCAAAACTCTATCTAGAGAGCAGAAAGGGCAGAGATTAAAGTACTTATTTTATTGAAAATAATAGACGTAAAAATATTTAAATTACAGAAAAAAGCATTCTCTCTCTCTCTTCCTCTTTCTGCAAAAATAAAAGGGGTTCCAAAGCCCGGAACCCCCCCCCCCCTTCTCCCTGGATCCGTCAATGGAGTTAAAATTCAACCATTACGATACCTGCACTCTTAAGCCTCTTTTAATTCTGATGTTAATTTTAAAGGCTAAATTATAATTGTGATAGAGCCTCTAAATACCTAGATCAACATTTCATATTCATATCATTTCATGATCATGATTTTTTTTATCACTACAGCCTAATTAAGCAGACTTAAATAACGATGAAAATTACAAGATACAAGAAAAAAATAATTACACCTTTGTATAATCACTAAATCTAGAAATTTTCTCAGAATTTCGTTTAGAAACACATGCATATGGTCCACATATTGCATTCCTTTTTTAAAGGACAGCAACTTGTAATTTACTTAAACGATTTCAGCAATGTCGAACACTTCCATTGTTAACCTATTGGACACGTACATGTACACTGATCTCGCTCGGGTGATTTTACCTGGAACTCTTCATTAAGTTAGGCCAAAGAAAATTTTTAATAGAAGGAATCATCAAGCCATGTTTTATATTGATAAATATTAACAATAACTTTATTTAGCCTACTAGTAATTTATCCTCAATGCGAAATTATTAATATATAGTACGTATGCGTGAAAGTTAGTTCTTGACAATTTATTCATTTTATAATGCATGACAGCATGGATGACAGCTTACATGTTTATGTAAAGGAGAAAGGCAGAGTACTGTACATTTTGTGAGAGAAAGAACCAATCGAGAGCCGTAGGCTCGAAATTTGTTCTTTCTCGCACAGAATGGACATGCAGTTTGAGGCCTTTCTCCTACATGTACTTAAAACATGATTTTCTTTGTTCTGTTAAATGAATAAAAAATGTACAAAACTGGTATCAGATATTAAGAATTGATTTTGTCAAGCAGCACAATAAAATGACAAGTTCATTGTTTACAGA